TACTGGCCTCTAGCCCTAGCTTCGCCCCTTCTTTAGTAAGCGGTATTCGCGCTTTTAATAACCTAGCTTGCCGTAGTTATAGCAGGTTGAGTTTTTCTTGTTATTATCTATCGCGGCGAGTTATCGTTGCATAGCGTCGAGGTCTATCGGGCCTGGGTTTGTCGTGTGTGCCTATGCTATGTTCTGGCGGGGTCGCCCTTGGTTAGCGCGGTATCCTCCGCGTCCTCTATTCCCTCCTCTAGGGGTGTAGGACGGAGCGTAGTTCTAGTTAGAACGATTGCCTTGCTTTTGCTTGCGCCTAGCGTGCTATCGGTTATCGATTCGTACCGTAGTAGCGATATAGTCTGCCAAATCTTCCGGCAAATCGTTCTTATAGAGCTCGTCCTTAACTTCCTCCTTAAGGCTATTATAGAAGGCCGTTATTAGGGGTTCGTTATCCTATTCTAGCTTGCTTAAAATCTGCCGAAAGGTTGCTACGTAGTCCGACGCCGATCCCTTTTACTTTAAGTTCTAGAGTTTCTCGATGGCCGCCCGAGATTCGTCTATGTTCCTAAAGACGCTCTTAATCGCGTTCTTAAATCCGGCGAACGTGGCGAAGATAGTAATTATTTTAGCGTTCCTATCGCCCTAGTCGTTCGTTAAGTAGTCCCTTATAATAGGTTCGAACTAGTCTAAGGCTATTCCCCCTAGGCACGTGCTTGCGTAGAGAACCTTGCTATGGTTATTATTGAGTTAAGTAAGGAATAGTCGATAGTAGGTCTTGAGTTAGGTGAGAAATCCCTAGAGTTCTCCCGCGGCGCTAGTATATAGTCCGGGGTTCTTAGGCTTAATAATTTCTCCTAAGTCTCGGTGGTTCTAGGCTTCGGCTATAGTATCGTATTACTTAAGTACTTAACACGGTAGTATACTAAATAAGAGCTATTAATATATGACGGTTAGGTTAGACTAGCTATAGGGTAGGTAGATCTAAGGTCGGTTTATAAACTAAGTATACTAGGATGTCGTTAACTTAAGCGGTCGTGTTATAGTCTATATGCGAGATAGTAGATCTTGCGTAGATAATTATATTAATAGCTAAGGAGCTAGTAGAGACTAACTATAGTGAAGCTAGGCTTCCTATATACTAAGTAAATGTTATATAGTCGACGGTAGTCGATTATCGTCTACGAGCGCCTTTCTAGTATAGTCGACTATAGTCGCTAGTCGTCTATAGTCGTCTATTATACGTGGTGTGTAAGCGACGTATGATAGGAGAGAAAAAGTAGGGGGCACGTGAGAGGCGTATACGGTCGCATGTCGGGTCGTAACATAGAAGCAATGCGCGCTAAAGGAGTCTAGCGCGAGATCCTATGCGCGGAGGCACGCTCGAGACCTTTGCCGCTTAAGTAAGTATTCTTATATAAGTTTGATTCTATAGGCATGTTAGAGCGCTATAAAGCATGTATTTATGTGCGCGGAGACTTATAAGAGTAGATTACGATATAATAGACCTATGCTGCCACGCTTGCGGCACGGTTATTTCGTATCCTTATCGCACTAGCCGCTTACTTCGGCCTAAATATTAAATAATTCGATATTAAGATGGCATTTCTTAACGCAAAGCGCGATAAGCACGGTATACTAATGACCTATAAGCTTCCACTAGGATTCAAGTAGCCTAATGTATGCGTGGAACTCGATAAAGCGCTATACGGGCTAAAGGACTCACCGATATTATAGTTCAAGGAATTCTCGTTAAAACTTAAAGCCCTCGGACTTATATAAAGCGCTAAGGAACCTTATATATTCTATTCGCCTGCTCGAGACGTCTATGTTGTCTTTTTTGTGGATGATATGCTGGTCTTCTATCACCCCTCGCGACCCGCGGCAGCCGAAGCTATAATCAAGGGCATTAAGGAAGCCTATGATATTCACGATTAAGGTGATGCCGAGTAGTTCCTAGGAATCGAGATCATTCGAGATTGCATAGAATACACGATCTACTTAAGCCATGCTTAGTATATCGAAAAGATAGCTGTTAAATACGACCTCGTTAGCTCTATAAGTAACCTAACGATTCCTATCCCTATTATTGAATATCGGAAGAATAAAGAGATAGTAAGCGCGAAAGAGGTAAAACGCTATTAGGAACTTATAGGTTTATTGCTCTACTGCGCTGTGATAATACGGGTCGACGTCGCCTTTATAGCCTTACTTCTATTAAGATTCCTGCAAAACCTAGCACTAGAGCATCATAAGGTAGCATACTAAGCGATTAAGTACCTATACGCAACGCGAAGCCTTACTCTCTATTATAAACGGAGCACTATAGGAGGTATGTTAGCTATCGCCTCGGATGCCTCTTTCGGCGATAATCTCGACACCCGAAAATCGTCTTAGGGTATGATTATTAGCCTCTTCGGCGGACCTATGATCTAGAAAGCTACCCGGCAACCCACTATAAGCACCTTAACTATAGAAGTAGAGCTCCTAGGGCTTGAATAGATAGCGAAGGAAGCTCTCGGTATAACTCGCTTATTTAGAGATATATAGTTCGACCTAGAAGAAGAAATCGACCTTAAATATAATAACGCACAAACTATTCGCCTAGTGTGCTCTGAGAATATGCGAATAACGACTCGACTGCGCTATATTGACATTTAGAATATATGGCTATGTTAAGAGTTTCTAAAGGGCGCGTTCAAAGTTATATATCTTAATACGAAGGAAATACCGGCCGATAGTCTAACCAAGGCATTACCCCGTTAGAGATTTCAAGAATAGAGAGCGATACTTTAACTATATAATACGAGTATGTGAGGAGAATAATTAAAGAGTATAAAGCGGAGGTAAACGATTCTTTTAGGAGCACTAGACTAGCTAGTCTTCTGCTCTAAGAGCACACCACTAGACTATCTACTACTCACTAAGAGCCTTAGCTAATTATCTATGTAAGTCGGCAATTATCTAGTGCGCCTTAGCGCGCGAAGAAGGCACGAGCGCTGCTCGGGGAGTATTGCTTAGCGGGGCGGGAGTCCTCTCGGCCTCGGACAAAAATCCTTCACCCTTATATATTTCGTTAAGGGCGCGTAACGCCTTTCGGCAGTTAGTAAGGTACTATATAAAGCTCTATTAGCTAAGAACGAGCAAATAAACGCTAGGACTAAAGTTCACGCTTACGGCGGGGGAGGAGCCGGAGGCATGCTACTTTATCTATAGCAGAAAAACGGACGGTCTGTAGTCTATAGTTAGCAAAGCTCGAATTTCAAATACAGAGCATTACTAGACTTACAAAGGAGTGTAGGCATGGCCTACGGCGTAGCGTTAATAGCGCTTGGCGCGCTAGGAGGAGGGCTCGTGATATTCGAGGGTAGATTTGCCCGAGATGAATACGCGAACGTATTAAAGGCACGGTGGGTGCCGGAGAGTACCTTCGAAGGGAGGGCGCTACTTTATAAGCGTTTAAGTAAGACGAGCAAAGCGCGAAAACTCACTTTTTAACGCTTCTTAGGCGTCTTAATCTCGTCGTTATTATCATCGTCGTCGTCGTTGTTAGCGCTATCGCGAGCGTTAGTCTGCTTCGCGGCTTACTCGGCGGCTAGCCGCCGAGCTTCCGCTACTTAGGCGCGGGTCTGGGTGAGGCGCTCGTGAGATAGAAGAACTATTCGTATACGTTAGCTAAGCTCGTAAAACTTAAACTAAGCGTATTAAACGTACGGGTAGGTATGATAAAAGTAGTATAAAGAGGAAATATTAAATTCCGGCCTTAGGCAGGGGAATGCGACTCTCTTATGCACTTTCGGCCTCTTACCTTAATGCTCTAAAAGCATTATTCGAGTTATAAATAGCCTATTAAGGCCTCAATAACTATTCACGAATAATAGTAATTAAGGGCATTACCATATTACTAACGCTACCTATAGGACCTAATAACATTAGATCAACCTATATAAGCACTATAGCCATTAGAACAATGCTCTAACGCCTTAGATAAAGCAGAGACCCTACCTTAGAACCCTACTAATCAGCAACGATAATAACACTCGCGTGGTCAAATGACCACATAAGTGGGGGGTGTGTGATAATGAGCCTACCTTATAGCGGGGCTAGGCTCGATTGAGATTCTGCCGTTAGCGGTGAAAAGGTAACACCGGAAGGGTGAGAACCTGAAATTAGTGAGACCGGAGGTAAACGACCCGGAACATAGGAAATTAGAGAGGAAGGCTCTAAGAGGATAGGATCATGCGATCAAGAACGCATAAATAGAGCCTCAACGGCTATCTCTTTTGTAATAATACAAGGCACTTGAACAACCTTCTCCACAGCGCATCACAAGACGAATGTTTTTGATATTATTCAGAGAGGTGAAATTCAAGGTCTATTTGATGCAAACGCAGGGTAGGTAGATATTTTGGGCCCAGACTAGAATCACGTGGTCGTTGCGTCTAGTCGGATCGACCTTGGCAGTTTGATCCAAACATGCGTCGAGAGTCGAGAGTCAGAACCTCACCTTCGTCAAACCGACTCTCAGAAGGATCCATCCGAAGGCGACCACGAGAGACCCTTCTTGATGTCGCGACGGACCGGAATCATGAGGAAATGACTCAGCGAGTCCGCGGGGTTACCTGAGGGCGCCCATGCACATCTGCGGCAGTTCTGTAACACCCCCTTGTTACGTCCATCCATCCAGTCCATCACTCGAGGTTGTCGTCACTTTCGTATACCGGATGAACAGGATCCTCGGGGGCATCTCCATTTGCTGCACTCCAAGGTGTCTTCAATCTAATCATGTATATCTATCTAGGCTTTAAGTATCATTCGACAGGCATACTGGTGCAGCCTTTGGCGAGACGTGAAGAGGTTAAGAAGTGACTCACAATCAAGAGTGTCAGAGGCAGGCGGCTCTTGCACCTGCGCCTCCAGTCACCGTCGCAGCCGTCTGTATCCTGACGCTCATTCATCGCGTGTTTCCTCACCTCAAACTGCCCAGGCCTTTGTTTCTCACATCAGGAGATGGACCCCAGCCCGACATCTCCCTTCTACTCCCTCAGCTCTGGTCGATTCCTCGCGTCCTTCTCTTCACGATGTCTTCTCGCAAATCATCATCATCGCTCTTTTGACAGGTCTCGTGGCGCTGCGCGCTGATTCTCTACTTCTTGTACCGCTAGTTCGGTCCCTTGTGTAATATCTCTTTATCGGCTCTGGTAGCTGGTATTCTTCTTTCGTAATCATGCAGCTTCTCGCATCTGCTCTTTTCGCCTTTGCCGCATCTACCGTGGCTACATTCGTCACGGCTGACGATGTGCTCCTCAAACCTTACGCCTCTCTGTTGGCTTCGCCACTCGACGCTCGCCAGGAAGATGGCTCCAGCAGCAACAATGATACGACAGGTGGCGACGTGCCCGACAATCTGCTCAACCCTGACGGAACAATCAACATGACCTCTTTCTCGGCGCTCACATCGACGACATGCACGTCCAAGCTCTCCAGCCTCCGACGAACAACATCGCCCTCGGGCATGAGTATCTGCTTCAACCTGCCATCCCTCAACACCACCAACGGCGTCTTCGAGGCCGATCTGAGACTGTACAAAGTCACAGAGCCACGCGGCGCATGGGAGGGCGTCAAGCCAGGTGATGTGGACGTCAATGTGGGCTTTGCGAATGCCAGAGTCCGCAACGTCACCGAGAAGGAAATCATGGGCATTGGCATGGTCGGCGAGCTGCAGGCCCGACAAGTGGACGATGGAGTGCAAGAGCTCCAGCGGTACATGCTTGTCGGACAGGTCCAGCAGGATAAACTGGACACCAATATGACCATGTACGTATTCTACTATAGCGGCATAGTGTCCCTAGGCAAAGTCCCATTGCTAACTCTCGCAGGTCTGCGCTCGAAGCTCTCCTCATGCCCTCACTTTCACTCACCGCACCCTCTGCTCAGTCCTCTGACAACCTTACGACTCTTCTCTCTCCCAACGAAGCATCGTTCATCACTGGTGTCTTCTCCACGTTGACGCCTCAGTCTTCTTTCTCGATCGCGCAAGCAGCAGTCTCGTCATCACTGGCGTTGCTTGACGAAGGCGAGATTGCATTCATCCTCCCCGGCACACAGATCCTGATTTTCCCCATTGGGCTGATCATCACGGGGACGTGGGCTCTACTGGGAGTCGGCGTATACGCATTCGGCACAGTAGAGAGGTGGAGGTTCCGGGAAGGCTACCGTGACAGAGTCAAGGGAGGAGTGGGAGCAGCAGGCATTTGAGATTGGCACAATACATCACAAGGCAGGGTCACATCAAAATGGAAGGCACATTGCATTGGTTCAAATCGGGAGTCATCAGGCATTCTATTATGCGGTCATAGGTATCATTTCCATATTCCATCCAAGAAAATCAGGAAGCTGTCCACAGCTTCCACCATCTACAAGCCAGCCGTACGCCGAATGCACCACTCGCCCAGCAAAGACGACAAACCCAGTCACCATGCTAAACAGCCTTCTTCTCGCTGCTCCTCATGCGACCCTTGGCCCACAGAAGACACTCTGTGAAGATCACGTACAGACCAGTCATGGCCCATGCTGAGAGGATGAGACCCAGACCGCCGATCAAGCGGGCATCGACAATTGCTCGCGTGATCTGCTGGCGGACAGCCTCGTTCATCATGAGCCATCCATAGATCGGCACCAGCTGCGACGCCGCAAGGCTTGCGTTTGACACTTTTGTGATCGGTTGCGGCTTGCCCCGTTCGAGCTCATGCTCAGCGATTGTGTCGCTCATCCTCCACGCAACCTTGTTGTTGATCTTGTCCCATGTTGCCTCGCAAGCCGCCCGCCTGGACGCATCCGCCATGCGTGCTCGCAAAGCGTGATCCTGGCCAAGCTGCATTGCCTTGGTGACGAAACCATCAAGATCGTTCGGCGGCACGAGATAGCCCGTCTCGCCATCGTGGACAATATCCGAAGGACCACCCTCGTCACGCGCAACGACGGGCACACCAGACGACATGCTCTCGAGCACGACAAGTCCAAACGTCTCTGTGACAGAGCAGTGCAGGAAGACGTCGCCGCAGGCATATGCCTCAGCCAAGTCCTCGCCAACCTTGAACCCGGCAAAGATGACCTTGCCTTGCTCCTTGAGTGGCTCAAACATCTCCTGAACCTCCTTTTCCACGTCGGGGTTGCGATTCCCCCCGACAATGAGCATCTTGTAGGGCAGCCCGCGCTTGTCGAGCTCCTTGGCCGCATGCGCGAGGAAGTTGAACCCTTTCTCGCCGGCGATGCGCGACACGGTGACAAAGATGATCTCGCCGTTGGGTGCAATCTCCTTGCGTAGTTGCTCGCTTCGTTTCCGGGGGTTGAACATGTCTGTGTTCACACCACGCGTCAGGAGTTCCATCTTGTCCTCCTGCACATTCTGGCTGGCGAGATAACGACGCACAAACTGCGAGGGGTAGAAGATGGTCTTGACGGAAGCGTGGCGGAAGAGATAGCTCTGCACGGCCGCAAAGGCAAAGACGGCAAAGTGGCTGAGGGGCGCTGGGAACAGAATCTGACAATACCCGGCCAGGTCGGTCTGGAAGTTGCAGATGATTGGGATCTGGTTTTCCTTGGGCTGCTGTCGAAGCTGCAGCATCACCTGGAAGCCAAGGCTGGCTGGCGATGCGAGGTAGATCAGGTCGGGCGGCGCGTCCAGCCCAAAGGTTCTGGAGTACAGTGTCGAGTTGCGCACAGGATACACGATGCTCAACTCGGGGTTGAACGGCAACGGGTAGCCCGTCACACGCACCTCGGGTTGCGGCTTGTCGACCGGCGACAACGACGGGGACGGAGGCGGCGTAAACGTGTTGTGTTGGGTATGGTTGTGAGGTGCCACGACAGCGACCTGCGCACCGTTTGCGCGCAAGTGGTTGACGAGCATGAGAGTCGTTCTGCTCACGCCGTTGACGGGACCGAAGGATTCGGTGCACAGCAAGATGCGCTTGCCCTTGAGGCTGGTCGGAAATTCCGAGAGATCATGCTCGGGGTACCGCGAAGACGTCGACATGAGTGCTCGTGAAGCCATGATGCTGGCGAACATAGTCTCGAATGTGTCAAGGTTACAGATCCGTCCATGGCCATTGTACGAGGGCGTTCCAGCATTTCTATCTAGTACTATCAATGGCAGAGAGGTCATTCGGAGCGACAGAAGCGACACGTGCTTGAATCTGCGGCTCACGATGCGCCAGGATGGAGGGATCTAGCCTCGCGTGGCAAGGTCACAATAGCAGAGGAAAGCAGTGGCACGAGCATCGGCAGTTTGCTCCAGTTCGTTATAACGACGGGATGGTGGGGGAGGGGTAATCTAGCGCACAAAGATCGCCCTGCACAGTGGCATGTATGTAGGTCCTGTGATCAGGCAGGTTTGTAAGTTTGACGTTTATGGTAGGCATAGGGGGTTCTGGTGAGATTCCCCAAGGAGGACTGTTTGGCAATAGATCGCTTGATCACACAGCCTCGAGAACGATGTTCTTCGTCTCTGCAGATAAACAGCACGACAGAAGATAGAGCTGGCCCATCCGAGTCTTTTGTCGCTTTGGCAATCATGAAAACAGACACTGTCTGTACGTACAGCCCAAAGACTGGTGATGCGCCCAGAGGAGTTCCGACATGTCGTTAACGCAGCCAATCAGAACGTCGGACGCGGCCACATTGCAAGGAGCAACAAACCGATAAGTCGGACACCACGAACGGCTGGCAGGCTTTGTGAAGGCGCGTGCTATCGCTGGTTGGTTTGGGAATGCCCCAGCCATGTCAAAGATGGTTTGCTCATGTGGTCTGTCAGGACGAAAATGTTTCTCATGGTCGAATCTCGGTGAAGAATTCTGTCGATGAGCTCTGTGGCTTTGGCGGTTCCTCCCGTCGACGCCGCTTCCTACTCAGCCCGACCAGAAGCGCCAAAGGTTCTGTGCTTGCGAGGATCTCTGAGTCACGTCATGTGATCCAGCCGACACTCATGGTTGTGAGGCCACTCGTGATGTGTTCCGCTGACGGGGAAATGAGGTTCATGATTGGTAACGGGAGAGTGATGGGGATTCTCAGAATGTCAGATCTGGAGCAGTGGAGCTGGACTCGGGAGGACGCACGGGCCTCCTAGCATTGCGAACGCGGCCTGATCAGCCACATGGATAAGGCAGGCGCGTTGGATGGATGCCTTCGCCCTTTGCAGCCGGCTGAATGAATGGAGTTGGAGGCTCGCTCACATCAGCAGTCAGCTCGAGGCTAGGCGAGCTATTTAATTATCCGCCCCTGCCAAGCACCAAGACGCTCGATACGAAGTGATGGTCACTGCAATCATCTCGGATCAACATCTCATCACGAATGCAACCGAATGAGCGCAGAATTTAATTAGACATTGTTCGCAACATTGCCGCTACATTCCATTGATCGTCCCGCCAGCGCCAAGCCAGTTCGTCCGTGTTCGGAAGAGATGCTGACGAAGAAACCAGCGATAAGGCTGTCGATAATGTTCGCGACACGAGGCGAGACGACATGGAGCACTATCGCGCCCCTCGGGATATCACCTGCGACGCACATTGGGCTGCGATGCGTCTAATGAGCCGCACCTATGAGCGAATTGCCAGCAAATAGATGAATACCTACCCATAGTCAGCAACAGCTATCTACGCTCGCTCTGAGACAGTCTCGACAGATTCCTCGTTGACAAGAAGTTAATTAGAACTGGGGTCGATTCGACAGACGCGGATGCGCTTACTGGTGCCTGGGTGCGTACAATAAAATACACGCTAGAGCCCGCTAGAGGGCGTTCAACCAATCAAGTGCCAGAAACGCTAGGGGCCGCCCTCCCAAAGCGGGCATGAGGGGACCCTTTGGGTGGCAGAACGGGCCTGACCGCCCTCGAAATGCCATGCCATGCATGCAGCATCTGCCTGCGGCGGTGTGCCCCTTTCCAGGCTGCGGTGATAGTGCTCACGTCCAATCCAACCATCCATCCATCCATCCAATCCCCCTTGGCTCTTGGCTCGCCGAAATTTTCCCTCCGCCTTTCTCGCGACTGATCGTTTCCTATTCATTCCCATCTTCACATTCGTTTTGCTGGAGATTTGCGTGTATTCTTCCTCGTCTTTGCACTACCTAATAACGTTCGATCCGTTCCTTCCAGAGGATAGCCTTTGCCTTCGCTCGACACGCGACAGACCACCCCGCCAAACTCCAAGTCGCGCTACCGCTCGCTCTGCTCCTCGCCATGTCGTCCATCCCCGAAGCCGTGGTCAGCTCTGTCAAGAGCCTTGGCCTGAACGGCTCCTCTGCTCACACCAATGGCACCCTCGGCGATGTTGTCGTCAAAAACATCTGCTGCGTAGGTGCCGGTTACGTCGGTGCGTCTCCCCCCCTCTGACATGTGGGATGCGCGAGATCTCTAACACTTCACAGGTGGTCCCACCGCTGCCGTTGTCGCCTTCCAGAACCCTCACATCCGAGTTACCGTCGTCGACCGTGACGAGACTCGCATCCGTCGCTGGAACTCAAAACACCCTCCCATCTACGAGCCTGGCCTGCGCGACATTGTCCGCATCGCCCGCGATGGTGGCCGCCAGGCCTCGTTCGCCAGCAAGCCCGAGGCCGAAGGCCAGGACGCCACCGTTCAGGACCGTCCCGCCAACCTCTTCTTCACCACTGATGTCGGCAAGAGCATTTCCGAGGCGGACATTGTCCTGGTGGCCGTCAACACCCCCACCAAGTACCGTGGTGTCGGTGCTGGCAGCGCGACAGACATGACTGCTTTCGAGGCTGTCACTGGTGTTGTTGCTCAGTACGCCCGCGAGGGCGCCATCATCGTCGAGAAATCGACAGTTCCTTGCCGGACCGCCCAGCTGGTTGCGGATACCGTGAGTTTTACTCCCGAGCTCCGTTCAGGCTTCCTGCTAACAGGGACATTAGCTCTCCATGCACCGCCCCGGTGTTCACTTTGAGATTCTCTCCAACCCCGAGTTCTTGGCTGCCGGTACCGCCGTCGGCGATCTGCTCTACCCCGACCGCATCCTGATCGGTTCTGCCCCCACCGAGTCTGGCAAGAAGGCGGCCGAGGCCCTCGTCAAGGTCTACGCCTCATGGGTGTCTCGCGAGCGCATCCTGACCACCAACGTCTGGTCTTCTGAGCTGGCCAAGCTGGTCGCCAACTCCATGCTCGCCCAGCGCATCTCGTCCATCAACTCCATCTCTGCCGTCTGCGAGCAGACTGGTGCCGATGTGGACGAGGTCGCCAAGGCCGTCGGTGTCGATCCCCGTATCGGCAACAAGTTCCTCGTCGCCGGTATTGGTTTCGGTGGCAGCTGCTTTAAGAAGGATGTCCTGAACTTGGTCTACCTCGCGGACACCATGGGACTCCCCGAGGTCGGCGAGTACTGGCGCCAGGTCGTCAAGATGAACGAGTACGCCCGTGACCGTTTCACCAACCGCATCATCAAGTGCCTCAACAACACCCTTGTCGGCAAGAAGGTCACCATCCTTGGCTTCGCTTTCAAGAAGAACACCTCCGACACCCGCGAGGCTCCCGCTCTGGAGATGATCAAGACCCTCCTCGAGGAGCGTCCCCGCGAGATCGCCGTGTTCGACCCCTGCTGCAACCCCCTGGTTGTCAAGGAGGAGATCAAGCTCCTGCTCGGCCCCGTCGCCGACCAGGGCAACATCCACGTCTACGGCAACGCCATTGATGCCTGCAACAACAGTACCGCCGTCGTCATCGCCACCGAGTTTGACGAGTTCCGCAACCAGCCCGCCCCCACGCCTGCCCCTGTCGCGGCCGGCGCGCCCGTCGCCAAGATGCTCGGCCGCAAGCCCAACCCCAAGGCCGATCCCCGCCCTTTTGTCAACCCCAGCGTGCCCACCGAGAACGACTTCCTCGCCCTCCACAAGCACCTGGTCCAGCTCGACGGCCAGGACAACGACGACCCTCTCGACCGGTACAACGTCGAGCCCGACTGCCCTGAGGACTGCCCCGACTGCAAGCAGTACCGCGAGAGCAAGGACACTGGTTTCGCGACCGGCATGGGCAGCGCAGAGGAGTACAAGCCCCGCGAGCGGATCGACTGGGTGCACATTGCCGACCACATGGCCAAGCCCCGGTGGGTCTTTGACGGCCGTGGTGTCATTGACTCGCGCGAGATGGAGAAGCTGGGTGTGCGCGTCGAGTCCGTCGGTCGCCAGCACCGCTTCTAAGGAGCGGGCGCTTGGTGCGTGCGAAGTGGAATGGGAGCGAAACACAACATATTCTTAGACTTATTCGATGTTACATGGAGGGATGGGGGCTTTTAACATTTTTTTTTAATCACTTGTTCTGATGGGATATATGAGAGATATGCGAGGAACGGCTGCTTGGGTAGGTTTGGGATGTTGAGGGCCGTTCGATACTCCTGCAGCGATGCATGGACTGGATAGACAGAATCTAGGGTGGCATTGGCATGGCGGTGGAAATGAATCTTGACATTTGAAAGTATCTTGAATGGCCGTATCATTTGGGCACCTGTCAAGTCGACAACAGCCACAGTAGGACTTCAGAGTATCGTTGACAATACAGCCAGGTTTTTGACCGTAGTGCGGTTGTTCAAAGGTGAAAGTGTCACTTTTGAAGTCCACCCAATGCGTCGACCCAACGCATACGAAGGTATAGGAACACGATGAATATAATCAAAATCGAAGCATACTAATCCTAAAATTCCTAAACAAGTGTTGTATGATTTCAGTCACGCCAGGGATTTCTGCATCGTGTATACCGTTAGGAGTGAGCCAGGGAAGAAGCTAGTGCAGGGTAAGTAAGTGGAAGACCATCGTGAGGGCGGATTAACAATCTTAGACGCGAACAAGATCTGGCCGTCACGGCTTCTGTTGTTCAGTGATTTACGTCCACTAATAAAATTTGTACAATTTGCTTTTGTGAGTTTCATGGCCATGATAGCGCAGGTCGCAAACCATGCCAACGCGCCTTGACGGATATACGCGCTGTTAACTCCAGCCTGCATTCACACTGGCTGACGCCAGCCTGCTTTCGATAACCACATGTATATATATATATATGGAAGGACAAATTCTCACCTCATGGGCAGAGTCCACATACAGTGAATCACACAAAACCTGGACTCGAACACGCCTCGTTCTATCAACTTAGAAAGACCATGCATCTCATTCTCACTGGGGCCACTGGCCTCGTAGGCTCTGCAGCTCTGGACGCGATGCTTCGCACACCCACCATCTCCAAAATCACAATCCTATCGCGACGACCCGTCCCTTTCGCACAAGAGGCCTCGGATCCCCGCGTAAACGTCATTCTCCACCAGAACTTCAACCAGTACGACACGTCCCTACTGGAGCAGCTACAAGGGGCCAATGGCTGCGTGTGGGCACTTGGGATATCGCAAACCCTCGTCAGCGCAGAAGACTATGTGAAAATCACCAAGGACTACGCGCTCAGCGCCGCGAATGCATTCGAGAACATCAAGCCTGACGAAGGCAAATTCCGCATGGTGTATGTGTCTGGCGAGGGCACGACGCATAACCCTGGGCGATTCACGCCCATCTTTGGCCGCGTTAAGGGGGAGACTGAGAAGGAGCTCGCGGCCATCTCTGCGCGCGGCACCATCCAAGTCGACTCGGTGCGGCCATCCTTTGTTGACAAGCAGGGTCACGAGGCCATCTTACCCTATGTGCCCGCGGTGCCATTCTCTATGAAGGCCATGGTGGCCGTCGCCGGACCGTTCATAAGGGGCTTCATGCCGAGCCAGCACTCGCCGACGCCAATGCTGGGCAGGGGATTGGTGGACATGGCCATGGGAAAGATGGAGGGCAAGTTTGAGGGCAAGGGCGTGGAGAGGGTCGGTGGCTCGTGGATCGTGTCCAACATCGGATTCAGGCGGATGGTGGGTGCTTGACTGGGGGCTTCAATTCCACGATGAGGGCTAGTCTCTCATGCCTTCTGTCAACATCATGATCGTAATGTGTTGAATGCGTCTGGGAGGATACGCGACGCGTCTGTTGATCGGCCACCAAGAGCAAGCGGAGCGGGAGGCAAATGGCATCTATCGCGCGCAATTCCAGTGCGAGTGGTGTCGACGAAGACTAGCCACTTGGCAAGGGAGTATAATTCGCTAGATGGAGATTAACATTGAAGGGATGCTAATGAACCTGGAAAGTAACTACTCCATTAATAAGGCGAGGTGCAACATGTACCAGGTACGTACAGCCCGGGATCACGTGCCAACGCGCTTCAACAACGTCACGCTCCACGCTCCACGCTTCCCCCTCCACGCCATCCATGGCCACAACTCGTAACTTCATCCAGCGTTTTGTTCAACGCGCACCACTACGTATAAACTTGGACCTTGCGCTTGTGTAGACCCCCGACATCTCTGCAACTTGAAATAAGCATGCCATCGCCGGTATTCGATTCGGTATCTTCCTCTTGGCGATTGAACTCCTCGAGCGCGTCCTGAAAGCCCCCTTGAGAGTTGAGACCTAGCTCCATACCCGACCTCGGATGGGCCCGAGATGGCGCAAGGGGACGATCAGGCCGCTTCGCGTATCTTGTGGCGCACCGGTTAGCCGAAGACTGCCGCCCGAGACTCATGGACAATCTCCAGGCGATCCTGTAAAGCTCGACATTTCCTCCAACCCCAACCTCGTCGAGCCTCTGGAATTCGCGTACTGCCAGAAACCGAAAAGCCTCATTTCAAATGTCTTGGAAAGATCTGTGTGGAGAGCCGCGGGCCCGGGACTCTGTGATGTATCGGCATTACTTGTTTCTGATTCTCGATAACAGATCCAATGGCCTCTGGCGAGCATTCCAACCCTGGTGATCTGCCGTCCCCGCTGGTATGGCTCATATTCTCATAGCACCAACATGGACCTACGCGATAAAGCGCGCCGCGCATATATTGCGATCGATCGTGATCCCGTTTGGTCTAAGATCCCTGGTTGTCATACTCACTCCTTCGCTTACTTGGTGCTCGCCTCTGTATAGCCGCTGCTGTAGCTGTACTCGCAACGACATGGCGAGAATGACGAGCGGCAAGGCCCTAGCGGGCGCGATCTTGGTCGCATCGTCACTGGCGACGGTCCAGGGACAACACACTGTCACAGTCGAGGTCACAACCTACCTCGATGTCAATGCCTGCCTAAACGTGTGCGCTGCGCAACCCACCTTCGGATCCATGGGGCCGCCTCCAGTGCATCCTCAGCCTCACCATGGTCACGGCCATCCAGTACACCAAGGCCGTCCTCCTGTTGTTGACCATCATCATCCCCAACACCCTCCGCAAGTCACTCTCACACTTCCCATCTGTGAAAAGGAGGGCAAAACCGAAACCAAGCCGGCTGCTTGCGACGACTGCCTAGAGACAGTCTTCTACTACGAGCCCACGGACCTCACATACGTGACGAAGACCACGACGATTGGCCACGGCCCGTACCCAACGATCTCGACGATTCTGCCAGAGAAAGACTGCCATGTCTGCGAGGGCACTGTTGTCATCTGCGAGCCTGCTTACATCACATCCTTCCCGGACCATCCTCAAGGGGTCTGGGGATTCGAATATGAAGGCGCCGTCACCACTTTACTGCCCGGTGCTGGCCCCGAGGGGCCTCGTATCACGATTCCTGGTGCTCATCCCAGCGACCCCTTGACTGTGGTCATTGGCCCGCCTGGATTCACAGACAGACTTCCCACGATCACTGCCCCTGGCGCCAGTGCCAGTGCTGGGGCTCCCACAAGGACCCTGCTGCCAACCGGTAGCAATGGTAAGCCTCTTCCAGGCGCGTCGCCTGTCGTTGTCATTGGCGAGCCTGTTGCTACTGGTGGACAAGGGGCAGGCTCTGGCTTACCTGTTGTATCTCTACCTGGGGCTGAAGACGGCGATCCGGCTGTCACTTTGCCAGGAAGCGGCCTTGGAGGCGTCCCCATTGTCCTGGTGGGTAGCCCAAGCGAGCTAGGCGTCAGCAACGACAGAAACTTCAACCTACTCAACAACAATAACGGCGGCACCCCAGGAGCTGTCACGACCCTGCTCCCTGGAGCAGATGAGAACGGACCTCGCATTACTCTCGGCCCCAACAACCCGGGAGATCCAGCCACCGTTGTCATTGGTACGCCTGGATTTCAAGATGCCATCCCCACTGTCACGCTTCCTGGTGTCGCGCCTGGTGCCACTGGTCCCAAGGTCACTCTGCTGCCCTCTGGCAACGCTCAAGGTCCTGTCGTTGTTATCGGAGACCCTGCGTCGATCGACAGTGATAGAGTGATCATTCCCGGTGCTGACGCCAATGACGGCGAATTCACCCTTCCTGCCGGCGCGTTCCGTGGTTCAGCTCTTGTCGTTGCGGGCGATCCAAGCTGGCTCAACAATTTCCCCGATGGCCCCAATGTCGGACTGCTGGTTGCTCCTGGCACTGGCACTGGAGGTGGTCCTGGTGACAACGGCCGGACCAGCACTGGCAACGGTGGTGATACGGGCGGCGCTAGCGACGATACAGGCAACAACACCAATGAACCTCTGCCAGACACGGATGGCGATGGTGAACCTGACATTGGCTCCCCTGATGGCCTTGATCTGAACAATGATGGCGTTGCAGATGCTGGTCCCGATGGAGGACCCGTTGCCCTTGACAACAACGGCGATGGCAACCCTGACGCGCCCGCATTCAGAAGCCAGCTGTTGAACTCTGTCATTTCTCCCCCAGGAGACTCCGGGTCGGGTGGCGGCAGTGGAGCCAACACAGACCAGCCTCTTAATTCTGCCACTGATCCAAACGGTGACGGCACTCCTGGTTCCGGCCTCGGCTCTCAAAACGGAGGCAACACTCCTCAAATTGATACCGCTGGCACTGGGACGGGCCCAGATGCCGGTGTCGGCGACGCCAACGACAACACCAACGTCGACGATACCGCCCAGAACGGCGGCGCTAGTACGGGCGTTGATACAAACGGCGACGGCGTCCCTGATTCTGGCGCCGGCACTGGCGATGGTACTCAAGGCACCAACGGCGATGGCGCCACGGACACACCACTAGAAGTAGTTACTGGTGTAGGTGACCCGAACAGTGATACTATGGACAACACCAACGGCGGTGTCAACCCTGATCTTTTGGGAGCTCAGCTTGTAGCTCAGCCTCAAACCTTCAACGGTAACGGTCTCTTAGACCTTGGGAACGGAGGCACGGGCGGTGCTGACACCAATGGGGATGGTGTACCTGATTCCGCCGGCACTGGAGGCAGTGGTAGCGGCTCCGACTCTGGTGTTGGAGGTAGCGGAACCGGAACTGATACTACTACCGGGAGCGAGCCTGATGCTGGTGTTGGGAACGTCGACGGGACTGTTCCCAGCACCGGTAGTGGAGGTAGCGGAAGCGGTGCCGACTCTGGTGCTGGAGGGAGCGGGACCGGAACTGATACTGCTGCCGGTAGTGAGCCTGGCACTGGTGGTGGTGGTGTCGGGGGTACTGGCGCCGGCGGTTCGGGGACCGGTGGCTCTGGTGTAGGAGGTGGTGATACTGGAGGCAGTGGCACTGGCGGCTCCGGGTCTGGCTCTGTTGGCGGCAATCTCCAAGTAGGAGCCGAACTCAACGCCGGCAGTGGTGGCGTTGGAGGTACTGCCAGCGTTGATGCGGGAAGCGGCGGCACTAGCACTGGCACTGGCACTGGCACTGGCACTGGCACTGGCACTGGCACTGGCACTGGCACTGGCAGCGTCGATGCGGCAATCGACGTCTCTGGCACTGGAGGCGGTGGTTCGGGAGGCTCTGGCTCTGGCTCTGGCTCTGGTTCAGGAGATACAGTCTCTGCATCGGGCTCGGGCTCTGGATCAGGGTCAGCAGGTACCGGCTCTGGTTCTGGTGGCTCTGGGTCAGGATCAGGATCAGGATCGGGAGGCAGCGGCTCCGGTTCTGGTTCTGGTTCTGGTGGCTCTGGCTCTGGGTCAGGAGACGCTGGCTCTGGCAGCGTAGGAGGTAGCGTCTCGGGCAGTGTAGGAGGCAGTGGCTCTGGCTCCGGTTTAGGCTCAGGAGTCAGCGGCTCTGGCAGCATAGGAAGCAGTGGCTCTGGCTCCGGTTCAGGCTCAGGAGGCAGCGGCTCCGGCAGCGTAGGTGGCAGTGGCTCTGGCAGCGTTGGAGGCAGTGGCTCTGGCTCCGGTTCAGGCTTAGGAGGCAGCGTCTCGGGCAGTGTAGGAGGCAGTGGCTCTGGCTCCGGTTTAGGCTTAGGAGTTAGCGGCTCTGGCAGCATAGGAGGCAGTGGCTCTGGCTCCGGTTCAGGCTCAGGAGGCAGCGGCTCCGGCAGCGTAGGTGGCAGTGGCTCTGGCTCCGGTTCAGGCTCAGGAGTCAGCGGCTCTGGCAGCATAGGAGGCAGCGGCTCCGGCAGCGTAGGTGGCAGTGGCTCTGGCTCCGGTTCAGGCTCAGGAGGCAGCGGCTCCGGCAGCGTAGGTGGCAGTGGCTCTGGCAGCGTTGGAGGCAGTGGCTCTGGCTCTGGCAGTGGCTCAGGCTCAGGAAGCAGTGGCTCGGGCAGCATAGGAGGCAGTGGCTCTGGCTCGGGCTCTGGTTCAGGCTCAGGAGGCAGCGGCTCGGGCAGCATAGGGGGCAGCGGCTCGGGCAGCGTAGGAGGCAGCGGCTCGGGCAGCGTAGGAGGCAGTGGCTCTGGCGTTTTGAGGTAACGGCCTCAGCCATCGTCACAGCCTTGGTCGGCTTGTCGACACGACCTGTACAATGCCCGTGTCCTCGCGGTAAACTACTACCTAGAATCTTTTATGAATACAGCGACTTTTCCCACGTCAAGTGTTAGGCTTCATATCGTATGTATGGCTTCTATTACTGCGTGATAGACGCCACCGACGTCCTAACCATCCCTCCATGATGTAGCTGGAGCTCAGCCGTCCCTGCACAGCACAAAAAGCTTGTCTGGCCTCCGCATTTTAAGCAACTAATCTTTGCAGATGCCGGGACTAAACTCTTCACGGCATCCTGTGCGGACAATGGCCTGCCAATGCTGGCAAGGCGGCGTGTCGATCACCGCTCTGGGGCTGGACGATCAATGCGTCGCTGGCGTGGGCGTGATCAAGCCAAGTGCGAATTGTTTATGTATGCTTACGTTGGTGATACGGATGATTGCAGAGGTTAACTGATACGGCAATTGCCTAGATCAATATAAAACGACCTGTTTCTCCGCTGCAAAGTTCGGCTGAGGCATCTTCACAAGCACGTAGCGCACTGTCTACACACAATCGACCCAAATCATGATGCTATTCAAGCTCGCCCTCCTCGCTTTACCAGCCTTGGCTGCTGTCAACGGGCCCTGCTACGGCCCCAACAACCTCGCAGGCGTCTGTGTCTCGACATCTGCCTGCTCTTCGGCCGGCGGCACCTCTCATAACAACCTCTGCCCCTGGGACGGAGCGGACATCAAGTGCTGCACCAAACCTTCTTGCCAGGGCTCCTCCTCCGCCTGCGGCTGGACCTCTGACTGCGCAGGCACATCGACGCCTGGTCTCTGCCCCGGGCCTAGCCAGAGCCAGTGCTGCAGCTCCACGGCCAATGGATGGGGTGGCTATCCCGCACCCAGCTTTCCGGCTGTGGGTTCTTGCAAGGCTGTCGCGGTGGACGGTGCCAGGACTGTCGTCGCCCAATTCCCCGGCCGAGTAAGGGAGATCTTCTGCATTCGGGACTGCGCCTGTCCTGGAACCTCGGACCATTGCTGCGGCATGGCGATTGACTTTATGATTGCCGACGGTGGTGGTGTAGGTGAACTCCCTCTGCTTGTACAAGATTTCACACTGACACGACTGGAAACAACAGCAAGCTACGCTCTCAGGTATCGATATCGCCGAATGGGTCATGGACCAGGGATCCGCCATCAATCTGAAGTATGTCATCTGGGGCCAGAAGATCTGGCACATCTCCACAGATGGTACGCCCAAGCCTTGGAGCCAGTGGCGCACGATGGAGGACCGTGGTGATATTACGCAGAATCATTGGTAAGTCTGCCTTCCACATTCAGTTTGGTCTGCGACTGACAAAGAGCAGGGATCATGTGCATGTCAGCTTTCAGTAGATTAGTTGAGCGGCTTTGATGGGTGTGAATAGCGAGGGCGTCCGGTGACATCTTGTGTTCGAAACTCGGCACTGTGGTAACACAGACGAATTGCATGGTAGCGGGTGTGAATTGATATGTTGAGGCGGTTGAGCCCTTTTTGAATTGCTCTATTTGCCAGCTTGTCGCGTGTAGATGCTGGCAGTGTAGCGTTTTTGATAGTTTCCAAGACGTACGTACCCTCAGAGACCGCCAAATACCTGGCTCACAGTCTCGCCCTCATCAGGCGTCACGGCCATTTCCAGCAGCTCGTGGGCCATCTCGACAACCCAGCCCTCAATGCCCGCCTCCATGACCAGATCCTCCTCGGCAAAGGTCAGTCTTCCCAAAGCGATGAGGTACCGCTGACTGCATCCGTAGGCGACCCCCAATTTCTGGGCAATGTCGGGCGTGTCAGTGATCAGAGTATGCAACAACAGCACGCATTGCGATATGATGCGATATAGCACAACAGCAGGAGACGACGTGTCCGGCGGTGCATCCGAGTCCTGGGGCAGAACATGCGAGGGGATGGACATGTCGTAGAGCGAGTCGATCGCGGCGCTGAGGCAAGTAACCGTTCGAGGCAGAGCGTTGTCGTGTGCGGCGAGCTGCTGGGCGCCAAACGGGTATCGGGCAAATGCGAGCAGGCACTTTAGTGCAGAGACTCGTATGCTGCGTTTCTCAGCCTCTGTCGTAGCTGATAGGGGTGCCTCCACCAGCTTTGCGCTCACACGCTCGATGACAAGACGAGCGACGAACGCTGGCTCCTTGTCGTCCAGTATAGGGCCTATCGAGTCGGGCAAGGAGGACGTGGCCAGCATCTCGAGCATGCCAATAATGTCATCCGCCTTTTGCTTTGGTGTCAGAAGGAGGGTCACAAAGTCCAGCGACATGAGTCGCCAAAAGTCGACAATCTTCAGTTCAGTGCCGTGGTCGGTTTCCATAATCGTGGTGACGCAAGCCAGCGAACAGGCATGGAGCAGGCTCATCAGGTTTGTCGTATCAATGTCTTGCTCCAGATACCGGTACTCATCGCTGTTGGACAGATCCCCATCTGGCAATCGGTGTCGTCCTTCTGCTAGCTTCCGTATCGTAACTTGGGCAACATTGGCAAGATTTGTCACGATGAGGGGCGCAACGTACGTCGTATGCAGCTGGAGCGTGAATGTCACAAGCGCCACCAGATACTTGATAGGCTGCCACAATTCCTCATTAAAGGCTCTATTCCAGAGGCCCACGACATGTTCAGCAAAGTCCACCAACAGTTGCATCGGGCGCTGCGGGTGTCCCATCATCGGCAAGGTCTGGAAGATGTGGGTCGCCATAGAGGCACCCGGGTCGGATGGGAAGGAATATCGCGCCAGGAGATCAAATGTTGGCGGTTCCGAATGAAACGAGGCGTGGTCGAGCACGAGCTGGAGGAACTCAAAGAGCGGTGCAGGTGCCATGGCCGCTACGGCAGCTGCTGGAGGCACCGACTGGGCGGTAGCCGGTCTGTCCACCATGACAATGTCGTCTGTATGTGTTTCCAGCGCTGTCACAGGACTGTCCATGGTAGGTCGCTTCCTCTTGTTCTTGCTGGGTGTCCGTTCTCCAACATGGACAGCGACAGACCCGGCACCCCCACGGCCGCGCCCCTGGCCTTTGCTGGGACTCGCAATCTCCATGCCGTCGAAGCCATCAGCGACGTTCCATGACTTGGTCGATTTCTTCGGCGTCGTTGCCTGCGAGTCCCGCCCTGTTCTGGACGTCTCTCTCCTCTTGGGCCGGTGCGTGGCGTCACGCATGTCTTGCTGCAAGAACTGAAGCTCGGTACTAGCCGTCTTCTCAGCGGCCACGGCGGCCTCTACCATCTTTTCTTGACGAGCAATCTGTTCCGCATTGGTGCGCCGCAACCTGGCCACTTCTGCACTGTGTTCCAGGTCGGCTTTCGTCGAATTGGCACGGATGATGGAGATCTCGCCCTTGGCAGCATTGAGCTCACCCTCGAGGGCTCTGACACGTTGCTGTAGTGCTGAGAAGACATTCTCGTTGAGATTTGACGGCTGCTGCGAAGCCTGGGACGGCCCAAAGTGATGCGATGGTAGAGTAGGTTTCGTGAAGTGGCTGGTTTGGGGACGCCCAATGCCCGTCGCTTGCTGGGGAACATATTGTGATCTTGCTGCTACTGGAGTGTTTGCACGGCTGTCTGGATTGATCATCGGGTTCCAATTCGGATTCGGTGGTATCGGCGGCCTTTGAGCAGGCGCTTGCTGGGGCTGCTTGAGCAGACTATTGTCAACCAGCGGGCGTCCCAAGGGAGCGCCGGCGGGATTGATGACCTCGGAAGTGTCGAGATCGTCATCTTCGTCCCAGCCATAGTCGGAGAAAGCTCTCTGTGGTTGCTGTCGGGCGGGTGGGAAGCGGTCTTGGTGCTGGGTATGCTGGTGGGCTTGGGTCAAGCTTATTGCGTTGTTCTCGAGTTCTTGAAGGGCATTATCCGGCAGATCGTCGAATCCGTCGTCGGAGAACTCGTCGAGGTCCATCTTGGAGGGCCATGCATCTTGGTGGCGCGAGGCATGCGGCGCCCCAAGTGTGAATTGAAGACGCGCCGCTCGGGACCAACGCGTTGAGGGTCTTGCCTTTCAGAGGGTCCTGTGGCTGAGGTGGGATGGCGATGTGGCGCAGGTCCTTTGCGATGATCATGAGCTTGCGGGCAAGCCAGGCGCGTGGGCTGCAGACTTTGGAAGTCAACAGTAAAGTGAATCACTCTACGGAGTAGCGCATCAACAATTGACATTTGATATTCAAGAATTGCTCTCTTTCAACGGGAGCAATTCTAAGCCACCAGCCCCTGTCAGGCGGGCTGAGCTTGATTCAAGCCTTGTCAAGCCACAAGTCTCCACGTCATGGCGGTTTGCAGAGTCGTAGTACGGAGTACGGTAATTGGGACGGCGCAGCTCGCGAAGATGGACCTGGAATTCATAAATGCGGCTCGCGATAATACGTGTCCGATGTCCGCTCGAGCAAACCGGCCTCGGGAACTCCGCGAATGAACGGCCTGCTCACCCGATTGCGAGGTTTGGCGCGGCAAAGAAACGAGTCCCGAGGTCTCCGGGAAATTAGACAGGTGGGTGTTGCTGAAAATTTGTATGGTTGGGCCCCTATTTCCAAGGTTCAAACTGAAGCATAATTCACGAGGAATTAGCTTAGAGTCAGGGTCAAACGTAATTCAGCTTATCATTGGACTAGCACACAACACGCTTCATTCTAAGGCGACTCAAGTTGAAGGCGTGGCAGCGCCGAGCAGCACTGACGTAACGCGACAGCCTCAGCCACAAGCAAGACATCAGCCTGCAGGGAGCGGACGCAGAGGCAGGCCGCTTGGAACCCCCGCAAGCCTGTCTTGATGGAAAGGACAAATAGCAAGTGACTGGTGTCGTGATTTCTCCTCGAAGATGATTATTCTCAATCCAACCGGAGCCTCCGCTTACAACTCACGTAGTTCAGATTGTGGCACTGACACATGCTGACTGCGTCCTGACACGCTAAACGCCAATCGGAAAGTTACAAATCGAAGAAATCCGAGCGACTCATGTTGAGCTACTCCACCGTTGCCCAAATTGTTCCAACCCTCCTTTCGTTACATCACGGCCGACTTCACTTCCCCTCTTCTGTGCTCTGACAAGCCTCACCCTCGAGATTGTCAACTTTCCTGCTCCCGTCGACAGCCGGCGCGAGTCACTACCCACCAAGCGTCGAACTCTCTTCCTGCGCCGCGCGCGTCACCAGTTGCGACATACCGCACTCGCGCGCATCCAGTGCCTCACGACCCTCGCGAAGCTACTCTGCGCCCCGCCTGACGAGGCCTAGCCCAGCACAATGACAGGCGGCAGGTCAAAGAAGGGCGTCCGCTTCCAACACCGAAATGGCCAAGCGGATGGCCGGCGATCGAGCTTCAGCGACGTCAGCGAGGAGGGCTCTGGCTCCCCGTCGCGCAGTCGCAAGGAAGCGCTCGAATCCGTAGACGAGGTGAGCATCCCGTCTCGTCGTGTCTTGCAAGACCGCGAGTGCAGTTTCTAACACGCCCGCCGCAGAAACCCCCACCATCGGAGGAAGAACAGAAAGCGGCCGAGACCGCAAAGAAAAAGGCCAACTTTTGGACGCGTACACTATGGACCTTTATCATGATCGCCATCTTCTTCGGTGCGCTGTTCATGGGCCACATCTACATCATCCTCATCATCACCGCCGTCCAGATCATCTCGTTCAAAGAAGTCATCGCCATTGCCAACGTGCCCAGCCGAGCGCGCTCCTTGCGTTCGACCAAGTCTCTGAACTGGTACTGGCTCGCGACGACAATGTACTTCCTCTACGGCGAGACCGTGCTCTACTACTTCAAGCACATCCTGCTCGTGGATAAGGTGCTCGCCCCTCTGGCGACCCACCATCGCTTCATCAGCTTTGCGCTCTACGTCTTTGGCTTCGTCTTCTTTGTCGCCTCGCTGCAGGCTGGCCACTACAAGTTCCAGTTCACCAACTTTGCCTGGACGCACATGGCGCTGTACCTCATCGTGTTTCAGGCCCATTTTGTCATGAACAACATCTTTGACGGCATGATCTGGTTCTTCCTGCCTGCTGCGCTCGTCATCACCAACGACATTTTCGCCTACATCTGCGGCATGATGTTTGGCCGCACGCAGCTCATCAAGCTCTCGCCCAAGAAGACTGTGGAGGGCTTTGTCGGCGCATGGATCATGACAATCATCTGGGCCATGATCCTGGTCAACATCATGAGCCGCTCCAAATATTTCATTTGCCCTGTCAACGTGAGTTGCCCCCCTTCCCTGGCCTGGCCCGGACTTTTACTGATCTTCTGTAGGACCTCGGCGCCAACATTTTCACCGGTCTCGAATGCGACGTTAACCCCGTCTTCATCCCCCACACATACACGCTGCCTGACTACTACTTCCTACCCAAGGCCACCACCTACTCCATCACGTTCATGCCCATGCAGCTCCATGCCTTGGCCCTGGCCACATTCGCCTCCCTCATCGCACCATTCGGCGGTTTCTTTGCCTCTGGGCTCAAGCGCACGTTCAAGATCAAGGACTTTGGCGATTCCATCCCTGGGCACGGCGGCATGACCGATCGCATGGACTGCCAGTTCATCATGGGCCTCTTTGCGTACCTGTACTTTCACTCGTTCATTGCCGAGGACACAGCCACATTGGCTGGCGCCATGGACCTCTTCCACCACCTGACCCTCGACGACCAGGTGGCCTTCCTCCCTTGGGTGTTTAGGTACTTTGTCAACAAGTTTGGCTCGATCCAGGAGCTGAGCGAGTACCTGGTGAAACACAGCTCACAGGATGTCCTGATAGAGGTATGTCACATTAGAATCCAGCCATTTGGATATCGCTAACAGTTTCAAGCTGCGCCAAGCCATTGGGCAGATCAGCGGAGCTATCGACAGGGCTATCGTAGCTGCCTCATGAATATAGAGATCTTGCATACCCTCACGATCAGACGCATTCTTAATGTACTAATTATCTTTATCGGTTGCTTCCCAGGGGGGAAAAGCGCATTCGTTCGAGGCAAGGCCATTTGCCGCGTGGAGCTAGCTAGGGTCTACGAGAACTACATAGGGAGCTTATCTAAAGTGCTCACTTCAACTCACATCCTGTTCCACGCATTGTGCCTCAATGATCACCCATCCCTTATTTTTTCACGTGAAGACCCTGTGTGTTAATTTTCGTGAGCACGCTAACTGGGTGCCACAGTAATGGGCCGCGGCAGGGATTGCCAATGCAGTCCCTACTTTTGTGGTAGGTCACGATAAGCTTCAAAGATAACCTGGGAGGACAATTATCAATCTAGTGGCAAAGAGGACTGGATCCCGACGGCCGTTGACCCACTCACCATGACGCCATTATGGCGGTGTTTAATAGGGCCCATGTCAAGATAATCATCTCAAACCTCGGCCGCAGAAGGGGGAAGCTCTCGAGAGTGTATAGAGCGCGAGCCAACAACCATCGGGCCCGTGCTTCTGCCTTCAAAGTCACACTTTCTATATTGGTCGCTCTGCAGCCTCACTGCATCCTCTACAGCCATCTTTGGATTGGAGGCCGTCCCAAAGAGGCAAAAGACTGTTGGGGAATCTCCACAGGCTCACCTCCCGCTCGGTCTTCCCCCCACGTATCTGGTGCACTGGCGTAAGTAGCAACTAGCAACTGTAGCACACGCCCTAGACTGGCATCTAGTAGTCCAGGGCTGAGCTACAGTTGAGTTGAAGGTGAGCTACAGACTAAGCACCTAGTCCAGTTTCTCAGCTTCAAGTCACCTCATCTAGCCTTCAGAACTTGTCGTTGTCTGATGAAAAGGTTTTCATCTTCCTAGCACTTGACCACTGCTGCAAACATCATGACAACAACCTTCTCCACTCGCTTCTTCGCTATACAAAATGTCTTGCTCAACGGCCAAGTCTTGTGAAGCCTGTTCCTGCGATGGCAATGAATCTCAATCCATCGACATTGAAGATGCAGTCAAGCAGCTCAACGAACTGAAGCAGCGCAACAGCGAGCTCGAAGCCAAGCTGGACGCTCTACACCTGAGCAAGGGACAAAAGCCTCGCACGCAGAAGACTGCGAAACCAAAGTATCGGTCGTCAGCATGGTTCGATGCCAGGGACGACCCTGAAATGAACGCCAACTACATCGAACGGTACCTCAACTATGGCCTCACACGCGAAGAGCTTCAGTCTGGGAAGCCCATGATTGGCATCGTGCAGACAGGATCCGATCTCTCTCCTTGCAACCGACACCACATCGAGCTAGCGAAAAGAGTACGAGAGGGCATTCGAACCGCGGGTGGCATTGCGTTTGAGTTCCCGCTGCACCCGATTCAAGAGACGAGCCGACGCCCCACGGCCGCCTTGGATCGCAACCTTGCTTATTTGACCCTTGTCGAAGTCTTGACTGGCTACTTCCTGGATGGCGTTGTGCTGTTGACTGGATGTGACAAGACGACCCCGGCTTGTCTTATGGCGGCAGCTACTGTGGTAGGTCCCTCCTCTTGGAATGGCTGCTGTTTGACTGGGAACTAACAATTCCAGAATATGCCAGCTATCTGCCTCAATGTCGGCCCCATGCTGAATGGTCGCTCCCGCGGAGAACTCGCCGGGTCAGGCACCATTGTGTGGAAGGGGAGAGAGCTGCGCCTCAAGGGTGCCATCGACGAGCACGAAATGATCGACTATATCTCCCAAGGGTGAGTCAAGAGCCATCGATCCATTGCCATTTCAAGTCTGACCTCTTCTACAGTACACCCTCTGTTGGTCACTGCAATACCATGGGCACAGCTTCGACAATGAATGCCCTCGCGGAGGCTCTGGGCATGGCACTGCCTGGCTCGGCTGCTATACCAGCAGCCTACCGCTACCGGAGCCAGTGCGCCTACGAAACAGGGAAACGCATTGTCGAGATGGCCGAGGAGGACTTGAAGCCAAGCGACATCATGACCCGGGATGCCTTCGAGAACGCCATTGTTGCCAACGCAGCCATCGGTGGCAGCTCAAATGCGGCCATCCACATCAATGCGATTGCGAAGCACATGGGGGTGGATCTGTCCATGGAAGATTGGGATCGATACGGCTACCACATTCCGCTTCTCGTCAATGTCATGCCTTCGGGTGAGTATCTGTGCGAGGAGTACTACCGCGCAGGAGGTCTGCCAGCCGTCATGGCAGAATTGCTTGATCAGGGCAAGCTACATGGCGATGCTTTGACGGCCAACGGCAAAACTGTCGCAGAAAATGTGCGCGACAAACATTCGTGGGATCGACGCGTGATTCGGCCATACCAGGATCCTCTCATGTACGATGCTGGCTTCGTGCACCTCACGGGCAACCTGTTCGACTCCGCCATCATGAAGACCTGCTGCATCTCAGAGTCGTTCCGCAAGCGCTTTCTCTCCAATCCCAAGGACCCAGACGCCTTTGCAGGTCCTGTTGCTGTTTTCGATGGGCCCGAAGACTACCACGAACGCCTGGCGACGGCACCAATTGACGATCGCACCATCCTTGTCATGCGCAACGTTGGACCTCTTGGATACCCTGGCGCAGCCGAGGTCGTCAACATGTGTCCACCGGGACACTTGCTTCAGAAAGGTGTCGGCGGCCTCTTTTGTATTGGAGACGGTAGACAATCTGGCACATCAGGTTCGCCATCTATCTTACACGCCAGCCCCGAGGCGGCCGCGGGCGGCAATCTTGCCGTTCTCCGGGACGGCGATCAACTGCGCATAGACCTATTGAAGAGGCGCGTTGATATCCTTGTCCACGAGGCTGAGCTTGCGAGACGGTGGAAGGAGAGCCCCGGAGCCGGATATCTTGAACTAGAGAGCGCTACGCCGTGGCAGGAGATCTTTCGCCAGGAGACAGGGCAGCTCTCTAGTGGCATGGTCCTGCACAAAGCGACCAAGTACCAGCGCCTGGCGCAGAAAGAGGTACCAAGACACAATCATTAATTACGTGGAGCCTATTGCTCAAGGACTTAGGGGCGCAATGAATCGGAGGCTGTTAGAGTGCGAGCTGCTGTTACGTAGGCCTGCGGGATTATAGTCTTCGCAGGTCATATAGATATTACTACTTATTAATAATGAAATGGAATGGATCTGCGCCCGCGAATTCCCTGCAAGTCCGCGAAAAGTGTGTGCATAAGGTCAAGAGACGAAGTGTATCAGGATCACATTCTAAAACTTGTGTATAAGATCCTTGCCCAGCCACGATGCGCGCCTTTATCCCCGAAAGTAACTGAACTCCATGTCCGCTTTGGTTTGGAGCATTCTTGTTGCTCTAAGCGATATGCAGCTTTCCAAGTTCTTCGCATGCTTGGTCGGCCTGGATATCACTGACGTGGTATAGATCGTAAATGGCCAAGTCGGCCAGATGCCTGCACTTGGAGCGGTCTAAAGCCGTCAACTTGTTTTTTGAAATGCCTTCCTGTTCCAGCAACTTCTGCTCTGCATTCTCCTAGAATGCATTTGCTCCATTTTGCTTATGGGATTCTGTTGCGGTGATGTGTCTCGAGTCTTGTCTTGCATTTCTTAATTCAATTTCCTCGACTTCAAGTTGCCCCTCCGTGTAGTTGAGCTCTCTTTCGACTTCAGGAGAAGTATTAGCGCGTTCGTCCTTTTTTAGGTTTTGCTTAGCGGTGACGCTCCGAGTTACGCGAGTAGTCGGATGTGCTATTAATCCCGGGCTCGTGGGCGTGCGAGACTTTTTCGATCTCGGGGGCAACGTCAATGTTGAGGTACGCCACCGCTGTCTCTGTGAGCCAGTTGATGTTGTCTTCGACCCATTCTGCTGACCCGACGAGGCCGTACTCTTCTGCATCCCAAGATGCAAGGACACTACGTCTGTTAGTTACAAGGTCGTCTTTGAGGCGTGGTACACCACCTACATGTTGCGCTTGGGCTTCCAGCCTGTCTCCAGTAGAGCATTGAACGCCTTGGTAAGCTCGACCAAGATGGCAGAGCCAGAGTTCGGGTCACCGTTACCACCGATCATCCAAGTATCACGGTGGTTGCCAATCACAATGGTCTCCTCTGTATCCGTGGCGTTGAGGGTAGCAATGACATTCCAAACTGGTGCAATCTTCTCCTCCATCTCGTTCTCCAAGGTCAGTGTCACGCCTGGTGCGGGTCCGGTGCTATATTCGGCCTCGAGGGCACCAGACCAAACAGTGCGGTTGACCTCATCGGGAGTATGTCCATGGCCGTCAAGCGCAGCAAGCAGAGGCTGAGCGGCAGCGTACGAGATAGGGATGGAGGGAATCTGGGGGGTGACATCGTCTACAGCGGCTCGCTCCACACCATCATGGGACGGGTAGCCAGGCGCGGTCGGGTCGCCAGGGCACGTTGAGAGAAAGAGACAAGATCCTTTCTGTACAGACTCAGGATGTCTAGCCGGACCGTCTATCAATCGATTAGAAAATGCGCACCGGCGGCGTGAGTAACAGACTCTTACCTGGATAAGCCTCATAGCCATTGGCGACGGTGTACTCGCCATCGTCGCCAGGGTCGGTGAAGATGATGGCACCAATGGCACCGTGATCTTGTGCATTCTTCACCTTCAGCCCACGGAAGAGTCCTCCGTATCTTATCAACGCAATCTTGCCCCCAAACTCTACACCAAGCTCTTGCAGGCGTTCAAAGTCTGCGATTGAGCCTTGTCCAACGTAGATGTACTCAGCTGTGGCGATGCCGCTGGCAGAGTACCCGTGGAAGGTCGGCTGATTGTCTTCCCTACCTGTCACATCGTCACCCTCCACAGCCTCTTCCTGAAGGTTGATGTCTTCTCTTGTTCCATTGGCCCACGTGACGCTCAGTTCCTGTTTCAAAGGGTAGCTGAGGTAAACATGGTATTCGTTCAGGTGAGCCTCGAACCCATTCTCCGTCCAACGATCAGCCGTCCACTGAGCAGCTTCTTTGCCCAGACCGGCGAGCTTGTTCTGGTGACCGTAGTAGTCGGACCACTCATCGATAGTCACATTGTCAAAGGCATTGAAAAGTACAGTCTCGTGCTCGCTGAGCACAGGAGGCCATTCCTCATTACGTTTCGTGATAGGCTGTCGATGGGTATGGCGCTTGGCGAGCGAGAAGTCGCGAGCGCAAGCTGACACGGTTGTCGCGAGGAAGAGTGAGTAAAAGAGCATCTTGTTTGTCGGAACCACCAAGACCAGGATCCGCGTCGAGTGACCCGGAAGCCTGCCTGGCCACTTATGTACTTGGCCGCACGGGTGTGATTACGGCATTTTGTACGCTGCATGGCCACTTTGTCCTTCATTATGTTCTTGATCACCCCGCAAGTTGATGCCGCACCTGAGATTCAAGGTTAGCCACATTCCATGGCGCCATTGTCCATCGAGATAAGCCTAAATCGTCCCCGCTCAGAATGACCAATTGGCTGCACACCCGAACGGATGAGGGTGTTGGTGATGGGACTTTCAAAGCTTGACCTGATGTAATACACGTCATGCCATGTGCTGGAAACCTACGAGCTAGCACTGAACAGAAAGCTCGTTGTTGTGGACTGGGGCTGGAGTACTGGAGCTGACCAGGCGCGTCAGCACGGTTGCGTGTTCGTGAGGGGACAAGTGAGTGATACCGTGATTCGCGATGGCCAGTTGGACAAGGCATGTGGGATGTCGTCACAATATCAGTTCTCGGACAAGTGGACGAGCTCAGAGCATCGAGTGGTACGCCATTGTTGTCGAGGAAATTGGAGGTGACTGAAGATGAGTTAGAATAGAACGGGTGAAGACCAGATGCACCTTATGGATGACCGTAGTCTGTAGGGTAAGTAGAAACGACGTGCCCGAGAACAGCCTACCTGCCACTACGGTTTTCCATCAAAGACAAGACGCTCTGACGTTAGGTGCAATGTTATATAATTGACAGACGAAGGGAATTGGAAGGCGGCCTGGGATGTTTGTAGCGTGGGGGTCCATCAATAGAGGGAACGACTATTGACAACAAGTGATGTAGACCAATGCTCCCACAGACCAATACTACCACAACACAAGTACCTGATCAAACGCGACAGCATCAACACATCCTGGGGAATACTAGAGAGTCAATCATGTCGAGAGTTTGCCATTAGCATTACTTAAGTATAAAGTATAAAATACGCGTGAAATCAGCAAGATCTCCCCAAGGATCAAGTGGAACTGGTGCTTGATCTCGGCAGATGGTTTCAGCCGGGATTTGCCGGCTCCGCAAATGCCTTAACGAGGACATGACGCCAAGCCCGCGATCCCCAACCCTCTTCCCAAAATCCTCTCGCGACAGGAATCACGCCCAACGAAACGACGACGATTGCAAAGCCAACTCAGAGAAACGAGACACTGATTCACAAGCGGCCGCCTGAGCTGCATCCCGACCTGCTCTTCATCACCCATCTGCATCCGCTGGAGCTCCTGCCGACCCAATTGAGCCAATTACATTCACCTCACGCGCCAATTCTGCAAGTCGCAGCGCTGAGGGAGTAACTTCGACCCCTCCCTCCCCAAAGCTTCTTGGACGTACGTGTGTACCGTTCCCGAGTCCCCGCCGTGACGCCGACACTACCGCCCCTCCATCCGTACTTCGGCTTGCTTCGACCTTTCCTTGTCCCAATGCTGCCCCTGCGGATTCCAACGACATCTATAACACGCTCCTCGCGCACCCTCCTTCGATCGATTGCACTTCAGCCTACAATCAAGAGAACCATCTGCTCTTGTCCTCGACCCCAGCCTACCACGCCCACACCGAATACAAATCCCTCTCGTCCAGTGTCCAAGATGACTCAACCACCTCAGGAAGTGATTGACTACCTCAAGCAATCCCACGACAAGATTTTCGACAACAACCGCAAATGGGCCGAGAGCAAGCAGACTCAAGACCCCGGCTACTTTGCGCGCCTCTCCGAGGGCCAGACACCCGAGTATCTCTGGATCGGCTGCAGTGATTCGCGCATCCCTGCCGAGCAGATCACTGGCCTCGAGCCTGGCGAGACCTTTGTCCACCGCAACATTGCCAACCTCGTTGTCAACACCGACCTCAATGTTATGAGCGTCATCAACTACGCCGTCCGCCACCTGGGCGTCAAGCACATTGTCGTCTGCGGCCACTATGGCTGCGGCGGTGTCAAGGCTGCCATGACACCCAAGGACCTGGGCTTGCTCAACCCCTGGTTGCGTAACATTCGCGACGTCTACCGCCTGCACGAGGACGAGCTCGACGCTATCGAGGACGAGACGGCCAAGAACAACAGGCTGGTGGAGCTCAACGTGGTGGAGCAGTGCCGCAACATCATCAAGACAGCAGCGGTCCAGCAGAGCTATGCGGCAAACGGGTTCCCCATCGTCCACGGCTGGGTGTTTGATTTCTCGACGGGCTTGCTGAAGGATCTCCACATTGACTTTGAGTCCATCTTGGCTAAGATCCAGAAGATCTACAACCTCACCGAGTAGCGTGTTTTATGGAGAGTGGCATTGTGTATGGTTAGAAGCGGATTTATGGGTAGAAGCGGGTTGGAGTTGAGTGTCTTGGGAAATGGAGCAGCGTGGGTAGGAGTTGGATTGTAGTAGCAGCGTTGAATGGAGAATACTTGTCTTGGCTAAAGTAAGCAGGTCGCGAGACATGGATGTTTGAACCAGCGGCTCTTGACACGGCACACTCCAACGGCAATCGGGACCGGAAAAAGAATCGCATGGAGCTGGGCGAGTTGGATGATCGCTAATGGTCCCAAGATGTACCATTTTCTGAGAGGCATGCCGACAGTCTGACTAATAATAAAATGTCAACATTGGGGCTTATCAAAGCCTACGTATACCAACATGATAGTAACATTTCTGGTCGTCTTGGCGGTAAAATCAACGTGGCCTGGTACGATTTTACCTCTAGGCTACGTCTATTAACCTCGAAATCGCTTCTTGGCGAGCAAGAGAATGGTGGGGCTTCTGAATGGATGCCAAGGCCTTAGCGTGGCTATGCACGTGACTCATCAGCACTGTAGCCAGAAAATGCTGCGTCGTCGGCCTTCGGTCTTCGGCTTCTTTGGTCATCAATGCATTCACGAACCGCGTCAAGATCACCATGTACTACGCATCACCACCCTCGGGCTCTTGCACTGGGTGTGACCGTGGAGATTGTGCCAAGGCAATGCTGACGACGATGGTCCCGTGACTCAGAAGTTTAAGGCTTGGCGCCGCGTAAAGTTCTTATCAGATTGCTCACAACGTTGATGCGCAGCATCGATGTCAGGTATGTTTTCCCACGACGAATAGCGACGCGATGGAACAGTCTTGACTTTTCGCTGCTCTGTTTTTGATGAAACCAAGGCTTACCATGATCAAGTAACAATTAGCGAACTTTGTCCCCCGCTGTCGAAGATGTATCCTCTATCTTTGATTCCCCGGCGTCCCCAGAGTCCAGACAGGCAGTGCAAGACCCTAGTGACCATAGTGCCGACAGCGACAGATTAAGTGGGACTAGCCATGATCATTCTACCAATGATGTCGCGCCGTTCCAGTTCCACTGAAAGTATACCATCCTCTTCAACAGTCTTGGCTCAAAGCCTAGAAACAAAGATGATACTGACTGTTGAGCTTGAAAGTATATAAAGGAGGACGTATCCCCAATACGTATCTTTTAAAGCCTTCAAACTTCATTAGAAACTTCGATTTCCACATCAACCACAATATTGGAATTGTCCAACCCTAGGTCCCTCACTTCACCGTCCCTTCAAACCACATGGAGTCATTCTCCAACAAGACAACGATACACATTCGCTTTGCACCACACACGTTCGTTCACATCAGCGACAATGGCTGAACCCAGCATGCCCGAAAAACATCCTTTTCTCCTTACCGCCATCGAGGTCGAAGTCGCCTTCGAAACATCCCTCGACAAAGGCTTGACGACAAGGCAGGTAGCCAACCTCCAATCCACCCATCCACCCAATGAGCTGGATGTCGGGGGCTCGGTGCCTTGGTACAGGCTATTTGCCAAGCAGCTGTTCAATGCAATGATCCTTGTTCTTCTCTCCGCAATGGGCCTGTCATTCGGCATCAAAGACTACATTGAAGGCGGCGTACTGGTCGCTGTCATCTGCCTCAATGTTGGGATAGGATTCTGGCAAGAGTTCAGAGCTGAGAAACGCATGGACGCTCTTCGTGCCATTTCCTCTCCCAGCGCCATGGTCCTCAGAGACGGCAATACCAAAGTCATTCCCAAGTAAGTTCACCGGCTGCAGACAAAATCACAGATGGCTAACATTTCACAGCCCGGAAGTCGTCCCTGGAGATATTGTGCTTCTCAAAATGGGTGACACGGTCCCCGCCGACATGCGCATCATCGAAGCCATGAACCTCGCCTGTGAAGAGGGTCAGCTGACAGGCGAGTCAATCCCCGTCGAGAAGCAGACAACCAACGAGATCACCGTCCCTGGCACAGCACAGCCTGCCGAATCCGAACAGGACATCGGCATCGGCGACAGAATCAACATGGCATACGCCACCACCGTTGTGACAAAAGGACGCGGCAAGGGCATCGTTGTGGCCACCGGTATGCAAACCGAAGTTGGCAAAATTGCCGCCTCGACTTCCAAGAAGCAGCGCCAGCCGGGGCGATCGATGAACGTCACCAAGTACGGCATGCGAGCCCCCGTTGTCGGAGGTGCTAAGCGCATCTACGATACAGTTGGAAAGTTCCTCGGCCTCACAGTGGGCACACCCCTCCAGAGGAAGCTCTCCAAGCTGGCGTACATTCTCTTCTTCTGTGCCCTCGGGCTGGCCCTCGTGGTCTTTGGCGTTAACAAGTTCGACATGACCAACCAGGTCATCATCTACGCTACCTCTCTGGGCATCGCGATCATCCCAGAGTCGCTGGTTGCAGTCTTGACAATCACCATGGTTGTCGCGGTGACAGTGATGCGCAAGGGCAATGTGGTGGTCCGAGACCTGTCTGCGCTTGAAGCGCTCGGCGGCGTCACCAACATCTGCTCTGACAAGACTGGCACGCTCACAGAAGGCGCCATGATTGTCCGTCAGGCCTGGGTACCAGGTAAGCACGTCTACACCGTCCGCGATTCACACAACCCGAACAACCCCAACAAGGGAAGAGTCACGTACTCGAGCGTTTCCCAGGTGCCCGAGACTGACGCAAAGCGAGACTACGACAGCGAGCGTACGGCTGCCGCTGTCAAGTTTGACGTACCGGATGAAAAGTTACCTGTCATCTTCGAGGAGATGGTGGAGCCTGAAGTCCAGAATGGGGTCGAACTGACTGATGCGCTTCGCGCCTTTTTGCTTTCTTCGGCGCTCTGCAACCTCGCCACTGTTCGCTACGACGCAGACGAGGAGAGGTGGCAAACCATAGGAGAACCAACTGAGATTGCCTTGCAGGTATTTGCCTACCGATTCAGTTGCGGGAAGAAGAGCCTCGAAGCACAAGGATGGAAACAGGTCGCCGAGTTCCCATTCGACAGCAGCATCAAGCGCATGTCCGTCATCTATGATGCCCCTGACTCAGCCACTGGTTCTATCATTGAGCCGAACAGCAGCATTGTCTTTGTCAAGGGCTCTGTGGAGCGTGTCCTCAATCTCTGCGAATACATGGGCACTGGCGATGAGCAAGTCGTCGTGACCGAGGAGGTCAAGGAACAAGTCCTCAAGCAGATGCAACATCTCGCCTCGCAAGGCCAGCGTGTCTTGGCCATTGCTTACAAGCCATACGGCGAACGATACCACCCACACCAAGCCACTTCACCCGAAGAGGAGGCAGCTGTACGCGCCAACGTCGAGTCTGGTCTCACTCTGCTCGGTCTCGCAGGCATCTACGATCCTCCGCGTCGCGAGACAAAGGGCGCCATTTCCGAGGCTTCCCAGGCGGGCATCAAGATTCACATGCTCACAGGCGATCACCCGGAGACTGCAAAGGCCATTGCCAAGGAGGTCGGCATCATTCCCAAGAATCTCGGTGTTCTGCCAGACCATGTTGCTCGATCAATTGTGCAGAAGGCAACGGACTTTGACAAGATGACCGATGCCGAAATCGACGCCCTGCCAGAGCTGCCACTTGTCATTGCACGATGCGCACCTGACACGAAGACCAGGATGATCGAGGCCCTGCGGCGAAGGGGCGCGTTCATGGCCATGACGGGCGATGGCGTCAATGATGCCCCTTCTCTGTCCAGGGCAGATGTTGGCATCGCCATGGGCTCTGGGTCTGATGTCGCCAAGTCGGCAGCTAAGATTGTTCTCACCGACGACAAGTTCAACTCCATTGTCTCCGCCATTCGAGAAGGACGACGCATGTTTGACAATATTCAAAAGTTCGTACTCCACCTTCTCACGTCCAACGTGGGCGAGGTCATCCTCCTCGTGGCAGGTCTTGGATTCACAGACAGCTCCGGAACGTCTGTCTTCCCCATTTCCCCCCTCCAGGTCATCTGGATCAACATGGCCACGTCCTCGTTTCCTGCGTTTGGTCTGGGTCGCGAGCCAGCCGCGCAGGATGTCATGAGGAAGCCACCCCACGACAAAAAGCGCGGCGTTTTCACAAAGCAGGTGGTTGTGGACATGATGGTTTACGGTATCATGATGGGGATCTGTACCATGGTCACGTTCTGCGTCATTGTCTACGGTGCCTACGGGGGCGAACTTGGTCATGGGTGCAACGAAGGGTACAACCCGTCATGCGATGCCGTGTTCAAGGCGCGCGCCGCCACGTTTGCGGAACTCACATGGCTCATCCTCATCTCCGCTTGGGAGTTCAAGTCCTTGCGCCGCTCCATGTTTCACCTCAATCCTGAATCCACGGGGCGATTCGACTTCTTCAAGGATATTTACGCTAATCAGTTCCTCTTCTGGTCTGTGATCATTGGAGTCTTGAGTGTCTTCCCCGTGGTGTACATTCCCTACCTCAACAAGGACTTTTTCAAGCACATGGGCATCACCTGGGAGTGGGCCCTCGCGGTCGGTATGGTGTTCGTCTTTGTGGGCGGCATTGAGCTCTGGAAATTCATCAAGCGACGCTTCCACCTGCTTGAGGACCGTCCCGTCAACCGTGGTTCGTGGGGCCAGGGTGGGAGCGCGAGTGACGAGGAGTCCAGTCGGGTGAGGAGGACCATGACCATGTCAAGCTTCAAGACTTGGGCGTCTTTTGGACGGAAAGATTCGACTGAGAGGAGTGGGCAGCCTGAGATGGTCTGCCCACAGGCGATTGCGCAACAGCAGCAAATTGTTTGAAATTCTGGCAGCATCTTAGTGTTGGTATAGGCCAGGAAGATCGAGGTTTCAAGCTGAGTTTTGAGTTTGCAATAATAGAATAACAGATCTGTTCGAAATTTGACCATCCTTCTTTCGCTCGTGCTACATATGTCCAAGTCTAGCGTTCTATGTGATCTTTATGTATAGCGCAGCCCCAAAACGCCATCAGAAACCTCATCTACAAGAGCAGCGCAGTGACCATACCCATGGATCCCAAAACGATGGCCCAGCTGATCATGACGGACTCGCCTCGCCCGCTTTGCGGATCAACGCCAGTGGCACTACGGCCCATATACCAACTCCCTACATCCGTGAGTTTACCGTCGTTGTTCAAAAAGGTGACATCTGGGCCGACATTGGACACCTCGCTTCGAAACGCGCCAAAGTACGTATAGCCTCCGATGAAATCGCTGTCGTCAAAATACTCAAGCGTCGTGTTAAAGTGCTCCTGCACCTCGTCGAGGCTCTTGTGCGCGTACGCGTACTCTGTCACCCATATCTCGACACCGGGCCACCTACAGCATGTCAGTGACTGATACTCATCCGTCAGGAAGCAAGTGGGACGTACTCCTCCCTGCGCTCGTTGATGTGTGATTTTAGACCCTCGACATTATCGTACCAATGCACCGGCAGAAAGTCCCAGGTGCAGTTCTTCTTGTCGTCCTTGCCGTCACTTAGGATCTCCGAGCAATTTCCGAGAAACTGGCGCAGCCAGGGCATGCCATCCCACCCACCAGTGCAGGCGGGCAATCCCAGTTTGACGCCTCTCTTGGCCAAGGGCTCAAAGTTGACAACCCATGCCTCGGCCGCTACCTCGGGAAGTGTGTCGCTGCCGCCGATATCCAATGTGCCGTCGGGCTCATTGAAGCCAAGCACGTGCGTGATATTCGTCCCGCCGTCTAGCTGTTCCTCCACATTGCGTAGAAAGGTATCGTCGGTCGGGTTGTTGGCGTCGACGCCCCATTGCATCGGCACAAAGGCAAAGTCGGATTGCGAAATGTCGGCGAAGGCGGGCGAGGGCCGCGACTCGTAGTTGTAGTACCAGGAGATGGCCGAATCTTCTGGCCATATTTTATTATCCTCGGGGTGATCTTCGTTGGGGACAAAGACCAGGCCACGCTTCGGATTGGCAAGGACCCCCGTGGCCGCAAGCAGCGGGAGCGCCAAACGAATCACCATCTCATCGCAGGCGCTGGGGTTCGCAGCTGATAGGAGCAGCGTTGCGTGGTGTCGCGTACTGTTGCGCGAGGTCGTGGCAGCTTCGAGATCGCTGTACAGGTACAGCAGACGCAAGAGCAAGAAAGCGAAAAGGATCAGGGAACGAATGGGGAGGGACAGGCAGGAGCCCTCGCATGAAGAGGACTATCGAATGCCATGGCCTGCATGTTGGCGCTGTGATGCGTGCGTGCCACGGTGCGATCGAGAACTTGAGCTTGGCAAAGAGGGAACCTGAAGCTTGGCTTTGTGTTGGCGCGCTGCTACTGCAGGTGGAGGCCAGGGCGCAGCGGGCTGAATGCGCTATCGGGCGGTAGGCCCCTGGCTGCCAGGGGATGACTCTCGGAAATGTGAAAGATCAACAATTTAAGCAGTGGTGTCGACTATTTTCCGAATAATCAAGCATGTTCCAATCTATAATTATCCAGTCGCTGCCATGCTTTTCCAGACAGGTTGACAGAGCCATTGGCTGCGATTTGATAGACGCGTCACAGCTCTCGACCGTCAGGCACGAGTGCCCCGCGAGCGTCCGACAGCGTCGTGGCCACTGGCCAGCTGGCTCCATGTACTCATGCTGCCAGTACGCACGTCAGAGCTTTCCTATTGCCGCGGAAGCAGGTGCTATCACAGGTACGACTGACTTGGAGCGACTCGAATCGTGGGAGTGAAGAAGTTGATCTGATTCAGCATACGGATAGGCCCGCTCTGGAACAGATGCCAAGTCTCGCTTTGGCGACTTGCCGGCAAGGACCTGACCCTTATCGATAAGCAAGATGCTGCTATGTCAGCAAGTGTCATGCCTCGGCATCTTCTACCCCATGGAGAATACCCGCCATTTGCCGTCCGAGGCTCATGCAGTCGTCTCTTCCCAATCACATTTATTCGCATCGCCATCCTCTTTTCTCGCCATCTCGCAGTACCCTCGCAGTACCGCAAATAAATCACACACTTGACCATGGCTGCCGAACGCTTAACCTCCATCATCCGCCATCTGGCGCCCGGATCGTCGCTCAACAACATGTACGCCCATGCCATACCCCACACTATCCCCCAGGGCCCCTTCACTAACTCGCACGTAGCCAGAGCAAGAATCCAGATGACATTGTCATCACCCTGGCCGTCCGCACACCCCTCACCAAGGCCAAGAAGGGTGGTTTCAAGGACACTACGCTAGAGTACATGATCTACGCTCTCCTGGAGCAGGTCAGACTCAAGAGTGGCATCGACCCTGCTCTGGTCGAGGATTTCTGTCTCGGCAATGTACGCTGCTCTTCTCATTCGTAGTTGTGAATGCTTGCTAATCAGTCAAAGGTCTCTGACGCCAAAGCAGCGTACAAGCTTCGTGCTGCGGCCCTAGCAGCTGGGTTCCCAAACACAGCTGGCGCGAGCAGCGTCAACCGCTTCTGCTCCTCTGGCCTCAAGGCTACCGCTGACATTGCGCACGCCATTTCGAATGGCTCCATCGAGGTTGGTGTCGCGCTAGGCGCAGAGACCATGTCGATTGGCGGGGACGCCCTTGACAAGCCGTTCGATGAGGCCGTGACGTCCAAGAGCCAGGAGGCGGAGGACTGCATGATGCCCATGGGGTGGACGAGCGAGAACGTGAGCAAGGACTTTGGCGTCACACGAGAGAAGATGGATGAGTTTGCGGCCGAGAGCTTCCAGCGTGCGGAGAAGGCCCAGGCTCAGGGCTGGTCGACCGACGAGATTGTCCCCATCACCACCCGCGTCAAGGGCCCCGACGGTGAGTTCAAGGAGGTCACTCTCACCCAAGACGACGGCATCCGCAAAGGAACCACCAAGGAAGGCCTCGGCAAGATCCGAGCTGCGTTCCCCCAGTGGGGTGAGACGACCACTGGTGGCAATGCCAGCCAGGTCACGGACGGTGCTGCCGCCGTGCTGCTGATGAAGAGGTCTACGGCTGTGAAGCTGGGACAGCCCATTGTCGCCAAGTACGTCGGCTCCACGGTGGCCGGTCTCGCGCCCCGGATCATGGGCATTGGTCCCAGCATCGCCATTCCGAAGCTTCTTGCCCAGCTGGGCATTACCCTGGCGGACGTTGATGTCATTGAGCTCAACGAGGCCTTTGCCAGCATGGCTGTCTACTGCCGCGATACGTTGGCCCTGGACTGGACCAAGATGAATCCTCGTGGTGGTGCGATCGCCCTCGGCCATCCTCTGGGCGCAACAGGCGCTAGGCAGATTGTCACCGGGCTGAGTGAGTTGAGGAGGACCAACAAGAAGATTCTGTTGACCAGCATGTGCATTGGCAGTGGTCAAGGAATGGCTGGGTTGTTTGTCAACGAGCAATAGCGGTTTGCGAGATTATTTATGTCTTAAATTTGAGTGTTTGTACATGTCCTCGTACAATCCATGTTAACAGCGGTTGGAGCTGAGCCTTGATCTCTAAGTGAAGGAGTCACCAAGACTATATTTGAGCAATAACGAGACAACGGTACCGTTTCTCTTTGCACCCCAGACTCAATGCTATAAGTACAACCGCACGAAAATTGAATGAGACTGGAGGTCATTCAAAAGGAACGTCTACTTGTCTAGGGTAATCTGCAGACACCCTCGGGACGCAGCCGAATGGCTGACATCACCAAAGCGGGTCCGTCCGCTGGCCCTCCTGCAGTGTCTGCAGCGTCTGCTGACCAACTGCCAGACTCGGAGGGCAAAACGTGGGGAGCGCAGGAAATACGATACGAGTAATTCGAGTCCTCCATTCTCCTTCTCCCAGAGATCCATGCCCCAATTTCTCTTTCGCTAGCCTCAGCTGTTGATTGCGCTGTCATTTCCGTTATCTGCTTCATGGCTTGCAATTCTAGATACCCCAATTCGCCCCCATTGCTTTCAGCGCGTGGGTCACTGAGGCTCTCCCTTCCACGCATCACTTTTACTTGACCACCGTCCTCTGGTCCTACCCCGTTACAGAGCACTCACGAGGTGGCAGCCTGTGTCCGTGACGATGAGTTTGCCTCCGAACAACCGCGCGTCGTCCTACTCGGCTGGTGACTACCGACCCTCCCAGCCAAGCACGCTTCGGCAGAGTCACCGCCCAAACAGCCGCGGTCCCCCATCCGACGGCCCTTCAAATGGCCCTGCAGCATCCAGCGACGAGGCATCGCCTCTCCTCGACCGAACTTCAGACGTGCCATCAGGACAGGGCGAATCGTACGCCCACGGCACCTTCAGCCCTCGCCCCGAAAGCCCTGCCCACGGACGCACCAGCTCGGACGGACAATCGACACCAGGTTCTGGAACACACATCCCAGCACTAGACGACGCCCTCACAAATATCATTGGGCACGATGATTGGAAACACTGGCTCAAGAAGCGCATACGAACCAAGAAGATGGGCCAGAGCAGCGAGCTTGCCGCGGAGGCGGGCATCCGCGATACTCCCCTGATGTACATGGCATACTACGTGCCCTGCCTCAACTGGCTGCGCCAATACAAATGGTCCTACCTCCAAGGCGACCTGGTATCGGCCATCACTATGGCCTCGTTCTACCTGCCCATGGCTCTGTCATATGCAAGCAACTTGGCGCACGTACCGCCGATACACGGACTCTACGCATTCGTCTTCAACCCGTTTGTGTACGCGCTCTTTGGATCGTGCCCGCAGATGGTGGTCGGGCCCGAGGCTGCAGGGTCATTGCTGGTGGGCACGGCTGTCAAGGCGAGCGTGGATTCAGGCAATGGGATGGAAGATAACGACGCATTGCACGCCAGAATCTGCGGTGTCGTGACAGGGATGGCGGGCGCCATGGTGCTCATTGCGGGCCTCGTGAGGCTTGGGTTCCTCGACAGCGTGCTGAGCCGGCCCTTTCTTCGTGGATTCATCAGCGCCATCGGTTTCGTGATCACAGTCGACCAATTGATCCCCGAGCTGGGCTTGTCCGACGTGGCGGACCATGTGAAGGTCAGCCATGGCAGCTCGGCGGACAAGATCGGGTTCATCATTGAGCACATCAAAGAGACGCACACGCCCACGTTTCTCGTGGCGGCTGTCAGCTTTGTGATCATCATGTTCTTCCGAGAACTGAAGAAACATCTGCAGCCCAAGCTGCCGTCGATTGTCTTCGTCCCGGACCGCTTCCTGGTGGTCGTGATCTCGACCATCCTTTGCAAGCAATACCGCTGGGATCTGCAGGGCATTGAGATCCTGGGTAACGTCAAGCCCCCTTCAGGGAGCCCTTTCACGTTCCGCTGGCCTTTCCAGTCTGCACACATGTCTCACATTCGCGATGGCATGTCGACTTCTTTTCTCATTGCGCTTCTCGGCTTCTTCGAGTCGTCGGTTGCGGCCAAGAGTCTCGGCGCGGGCACGTCCACCATTCAGGGCATGCAGCTTAGTGCCAACCGCGAGCTCATCGCACTGGGCGTGGCCAACTTTGTCGGCGGCAGCTTCTTGAGTCTTCCGGCATTCGGTGGCTACGGCCGCAGCAAGGTCAATCAGCAGACGGGCGGCAAGACGCCCATGAGCTCCATCTTGCTCAGCGTCATCGCTCTGCTCTGCGTGCTCTTCTTCTTGCCCTACTTTTACTATTTACCGAAACCAGTGTTGTCGGCCATGATCTCCGTGGTTGCTTACTCCCTTATGGAAGAGGCGCCGCATGACATTGGCTTCTTCCTTCGCATCCGTGGGTGGAAGGAGCTTGGGCTCATGGCCCTCATTTTCCTGTCGACCGTCTTCTACTCGCTCACCATGGGCATGGCCATTGGCGTCGGCGTCTCGCTGCTCATGGTGATCCGCCACAGCACGCGTCCTCGGATCCAAATCATGGGCCGCATCCCCGGGACCAACCGCTTCGAGAATGCCGAGGCTGAGGATGCCCATCTCGAGTTCATCGAAGGCTGCCTGATTGTCAAGATCCCCGAGCCACTCACGTTCGCCAACACGGGCGAGCTCAAGTCTCGTCTACGACGACTCGAGATGTACGGCACTTCGTCTGCGCACCCCGCCCTGCCGCGCCTACGCTCCACCGACATGAATAGGAATGTCATCTTTGACATTCACGGCGTCACCTCCATCGATGGCTCAGGCATGCAGGTTCTGACCGAGATTGTCACGGACTATAGGGAACGAGGCGCACGTGTCTTCTTCTCAAGAGGACCGACGAAACGACACGGCAACGCAATATGGAGGATGATGCAGGGCAGCGGCATTGTGGACATGTGCGGTGGCGAGGGTCACTTTGTGGACGACGTGGACGAAGCATTGAGGAGGACCGAGTACGAAGACAGCGTGCATGAGTAGATACATCCACGAGGCATTGGATGGTATCGGCTGTTTACATGGGGAGCATTCATAGAGCCAAGCCACAGTACGCATATCACACCTGTTTGCACGTTTGTATGCGGTCATTTACACATGCTTATCGTATCTAGGCGTCATTCGTCGTTCCGTCGTTCCGTCGTCGCAGTGTGTATACACCAGCCTGCCCTCACTCTGCAGTCGCTCCCAGTATGGGCAGCAGACCCTGCGCCTGAGCGTCGCGCACCAGAGCCTCGTAAATGGCGACCTTCTCCTCGTAGATGGCGACCCAGTCGACATCGCGCTTGCCAGGGCCAGCATCGTCACCGCCAAAGGCGCGGACAGCAGCATAATAGACCGCTGCGAGGCCCTTGCAGACCAACTTGGCGGAGGTGCCCTTGCACTGGTAGTAGAGACTACCCCCATGTTAGCTTGCTGGTTCATGCGGGCCATCGCTATTCACAAAGGAGACGTACTCTTTCTTGGATTTCTTGTCGATTTTTGACTTGGCGCTAACTATGAAGCGCGACTGGTCGCGGTAGTTGTGGTAGCCAAAGTCGTGGCGCTCGCAGGCCGGGCGAAATGGGAAGCCAAACGGGTTGTCTGGCGCCGAGGTGCAGCCATCCGTCTTCCAGTTAAGCGTGGAGGGCGTGCCGCGACGCGCCTGAAACTCGGGCAACGTGATGTTGAAGAGGAGCTCGTCGGTGATCTCGTTGTCGGACTGGCGAGGCGTCACGGCAGCCTTCATGCTGGGGAGGGCGGCGGCTGTCGAGGCCATGGCCAGAAGGGCGGTGGTGAACTTCATCTTGCTGCGGTGGCCCGCTGGCTGGCTGGGTGCTGCTGCTCCCTGTTTAAGCTTGAACTCTGGCTGGGGCTCATGGCTGTCTTAAACACTCTTTGGTTTTGAATTAAGGTTCATAGCTGGACTGATCGACAGGAGGACATGTGTCCTCCTCCGTCCTCTCGCGCCAGCCTTTGTGATTAGCCTTTGCCCGCTTACAAGACGACCTACTATTTTGCGCTGGATGGATGCCACGAGACAGCATCATATTCGCCCATTGAATCGAGCCGACCCCGCGTACCAAGACGCCATGGCGAGCACAAGTCTGAGAAATGGTCATGCGCAAAGGGGTTGTGACGAGGTGGGCGTCTGCCATTGCGGTACTTGGCGTGGTTATTGGCTCGCTACGCGTGAGGGCGAAGACGCGACCACCAGCCTCTTAGATACCAGCGTGCCTCCTGGGAGGGCAATGTGGGCGACGGCAGAGATGCAGTTTGCTGCACGGGGTTCAAGCTTGCAAATGGGAAGAAGAAAAAAGAAAGGAGATCTTGTGGAGTTGCCCGACGGACCGATGAGCGGTGACCTGCGGCTTGCCCATGGGAGTACACGACCAATGCAAGCAGCATCTATGGAATGATTCACAGATTGGAAATCCCAGACTACAGCAACTCTGGCAACTTGTCCCTCAGCAATTTCCCACTGACGTGTCGCGGCAAAGCGTCCACAAACTTGACACCTCCTCGCAGCTGCTGGTGCTCCTGGACCTTGTCCGCCACAAACTGCTGAATGAGTTGAGGAGTATCATCTGCCATTTCTGTGCCTGGCCTCATGACAACCAGAGCTTGAGGAACCTGGATCTCTGCTACGTCCTCTTCCTGCGATGCGACACCAAGCACAGCTGCGTCAGCAACGCCTGGATACTGCACGATAACACCCTCGAGCTCAGCTGGTGCCACATACTGGCCCTGAACGCGAATCATCTCCTGTAAAGTATGTCAGCGATGAGGTCCTCAATACTTGGTGGTCTCCAGTGCGCACCTTTACACGCCCCTTGACGTAGATCAGGTCGTCTCTGATCTCAACCAGGTCACCTGTTCGGTACCATCCCTTATGGAACGCCTTTTGATCTGCCTCAGCATTGTTGTGGTAACCTTGCGTAATGATCGGGCCCCTAAGCCAAGCTTCGCCCTGTTGGCCAACCGGGACGTCTTTGCCCTCCTCATCGACAAGACTACTCACCGTCAGCCATGCACGCAATTCACAATATGATCACACTCACCGCATCAGCATATTGGGCAAGAAACCGCCCACACTCCCCGTCACGTCCCGCCTGCTGGGAGGCATGTGAGTCGATGCGCCAGTCGTCTCCGTAGCACCCCATGTCTGACTCAACAGCGTCTTCATGACCCCCTCGCCTCCCAGCTTTTGCGTGTGATAGACACGCGAGTCAAGCGGCCAACCGCCCGAGTAGGCAATGCGCAGAGACTTAAGCTGGTCCGTGATGCTCGGGAGGAACGCGACGGCCGCGAATACCCTAGGCAGGGAGAAAAAGGTCGTGATCTGCAGCGTCGCGTTGTACTTGAGGAAGGCCATCATGTCAAACTTGGGCATCCAGTACACGAGGCCCCCATCATAGAAGGGATTGACAAAGTAGCCCTGCACGCCTGAAATGTGTGCGCACCCCAGATGAGCAAGCGTCCGCGACTGGAACGGTTTCCCCTCGGCAGCCCACTGGTCCCAGACCGGGCGATTGATATACGCTGGGAGGAACGCTTCAGAGACCATGTTTGCGTGGGAAATCCGTACGCCCTTTGGCTGCCCAGTGGTACCCGACGTGTAGACGAGGCAGATCGTCGTGGACGCCAACAAAGACGGATCCGTGATGACTGGCCAAGATAAGGTGTTTTGGCCGGGAGCAAAAGACCACGAAGTGCTACTGTCGACGGAAGTGAGCGCTGGCGTAGGGCTCGTCGTCAGGACAAGAACATTCCGCAAGGGAAGTCCTACGATAGCAGCAGCGGCCACCGCCGTGTCTTTGACATCCTCGCTGCAGACGAGCAACTTGCCAGGTCCATCTGCGATCTGGCTGGCGAGCTGCTCTACACTCAAGTACGTGCTGGCTGCCGAGTAGATACCCTGAGCGCCAACAATGCCGTAGAATAGGAGGGGAAGCGCGGCCTGGCCGTTACAAAAGCTGACCACGATATCTTCACCCGTTCGTTTCTTGCCTATCCCATAGTTCTCACGAAGAAAATGGGCGACTTGCTGCGCAATGACTCTGCTGTCGGCTTTGGTGTAAGTCGTCGCCGCATTGTCCGCATCGGCGTGAAGGGGCGTGCTCTCTTGAGCAGCACAGTGACGCGACTCTAAGGCCCAGCAAGTCAGCGTGGATTCATGTTGACAAGAAATATGGCTGTGCACATACCAAACAAAAAGGTCAACAGGTCGACTTGAGGTACGTCGACCTCGTTACCCAGGTTGTAGATCATACCGACGTTGTTGATAGCACTGGAAGACGTCTACTTGCTACTTGGGATAGGCATCTGGCGTCTTTTACGAATTCCTTCAATATGAGAAACCGGGACTCGATGGAGATAATCGCGGTCAATTACCGGACACTGGCCGGATATTCAAGCGCAATAGTACCGCGCGCTTCCGAAACTCCTATCATCCATGCACCCAGCGCCTTACGGTAATTAGGGCTGGTCATTCCAAATAGGCTACCGGCGCCGGTCAATAAACTGCAGGAAAAAACAATTGCCACAAGCTTGTTTTTAGCGATGTACGGTCAGTACGTACGGAGCATTATCATCCTGGTGGAGCATGTATATGCATGGGTCAGGGGACATGGGCCAACGTACCTGGCTGTCATGAAACAAATAACCTGTCAGAGCTCTCGTGCATCCTGGGAAATTTGCTCGAGCGCCCTGGCACTGCGAGCTGAGAGATGAGCTGTCACAAGGCGAGTGGCAGTCTTGGGAATGTGACGAAAAGGCCGAGTTCCAGGAGGTTGGTCCCAGATTGTGGCATACGTAGCCGTGCCGACTGTCTGGGAGGAGATCGGAGTCGGACCTACGACGGGCAGAGCGCATCTAGATACCAGGGCTCTCTCGATCGATGGTATCGCGGGTAGCTATGATGGGCAGCGCCAAGAGAGATTCCCTCAAAATGGCGACAGTAGCGAAGCTGGGCGCTGCATCGTAGGCCGGGGCCACTGTGCTGAAGGCTGGATTTATGTTGCCAGATGAGAAGGAGTCATGACATGAAAAGTCGGCAGCGAGGTCTACATGGGATACTCTACATACTACTAGTCTAAAGACCAGACATACTTGGTACAGTGCAAGCTACAAGGGCACCTAGTTACGCATGTCACGCATTTCGAAACGAAGTAAAGCTCATTTGAGGATTATTTATCTACATGTACATGTAATTAACTGTTGATGTTGTCAATAGCAACAAAAGTCCAGGTCATCCCATCTCATCCGCGTGTACCGTACAGAATCAGGACATTGCAGTGCAGAGAACCCAGCTTAGTTCTTGGCAGCCTCAATGATGACATCGGCGGCCTTCTCGCTGATGGTGTAGGTGGGCAGCGCCACGTAAAAGCCGGGGATCTTGGGGAAGACGGAGGCGTCGACGACACGGAGACCATCCACGCCACGGACGCGGAACTTGGAGTCCAGCACAGCGTTCGGGTCGTCGTCCGCGCCAATGGGCGAGGTGCAGGACGCGTGGTGGCCCCAGGCCTCTTTCTTGGCGAATTCCTTCAGCTCGTCGTCGGTGGAGATGTTCTTGGGGGGCCAGACGCGCTCAAAGTCACCGTCGAGAGGGATGAGGCTGTCAAAGGCCTTGATGCCAAACTTCATGCCCTCGACCACGCTCTGCAGGTCCTCGTCGCCACCGCGGGCAAAGTAGTTGAAGTCGATCTGGGGTGTGTCGCGGGGGTTCTTGCTCTTCAGGGTGACGGCACCGGCGTTGTTGCGAGAGTGCGCCTTGAGGGTGAGCCACGTCCACGTGTTGCCGCCTGCGGTGGCATACATGGAGTAGCCCGGGTAGTAGCCGTTGAAGTAGGCGGGAACGCCACCGAGGAAGAGATCGTGGTCGTCGTTCTTGTCAGCCACGGACGAGTGGTGCAGGTAGCCAAAGGCGATGCCGTTGGTGGTGTAGGCACCCTTGAGGTCTCCGGGCCTGTTCTTCCAGTTGTTGTAGCAGGGGTCGTCGCCCTCGAGGAACGTGCAGTCGGCGAGGAGGGAGAACTTGGTCTTGGCCTCGCCAACGACACCAACCTCATAGCGGTCCTGGAGATTGCCGCCAACACCGGGGAGATCGTGGATGACCTCAATGTCGAGCGCTTCGAGCTCCTCCTTGGGGCCGACACCAGACAGCTTGAGGATCTGGGGGGTGTTGAAAGTTCCAGCAGAGACAATCACCTCGCGACTGGCATGGACGGTACCAGCAACGCCCTCGTCCTCCGACTTGGAAGCGCGGGGATCGGCACGGTACAGACTCTTGCCGTGGAGGTAGTCGACGCCGGTGGCCTTGGGCTTGTCGCCAGAGGTGTCAAAGTTGACCTTGCTAACAAGGGTGTTGAGAGCAATGTCGAGCTTGTACTTCTTGGAGCCGTCCTTGTTCTTGGCGTTGGCCACGTCGAGGACAAAATCGCGAGGTCCGGTGCGGACGTAGTCAGAGTTCATGGACAGGGGAATCTGGTAGATGAGGTCCTTCTTGTCGCGAACATACGAGTCGGCGTTGATGTCGAGGGTCAGAACACCGAGAATGCCAGTGACAGTCTTGAGGAGGCCGCCCAGCAGGCCCTTGCCAGTAGCAGTGGTGGCAGCAGTCAGGAGGGAGAGGACCTTCAAGTCCTGCGCGATGAGGATGGTTGGGGTCAGACGCGTGGGCAGCCATCCGCTGAAGCCGTGGCCCCTGGAGGCCAGAGCACCCTGAACGTACTGGTTGCTCTCGATCCTCTTCAGGTAGCCCTTCATGTTGTCGGAGCTCCAGGACTCGTCGCCGGTGATGCCGGCAATTGTGTCCCAGTCCTTGTCGCTGGCCTTGACCATGATCAGGGCGTGGTGCATCGTGCAGCCACCAAGCGCACCGGTACGAGGGTACAGAACGCCAAGGGCCTCGGAGCCCTCAGGTGGCTGGTCGGCGGACATATCGAGCGTCTGCCAGTACTCGCCATCGGGTGTCAGGTAGGTGTACTTGCTGTCCTTGCGGTTCTGCTCGTCGTCCGCATGGTGGTTGACAAAGTAGTCCCAACGAATGGGGTTGTACTCGCTGGTGTAAGGGTGCAGGGCTGGAGCCTGGACCTGGCGATCGGTTCCGTGATCCTCACCAGCATCGATGAGCAAGACACTGTGACCAGCAAGTGCCAGGCGGGCGGCGAGGGGAGAACCACCAGCGCCAGAGCCGACGATGATATACTCGTAAGTCGAGTTGTCCTGGGGACCCTCGACGGGGTGGCTGTACCCGTTTGGTGGGTAGATGTTCTGGTCCTGCACGGGCTGCACCGTATAGCTAAGAAGGGTCAGTCTGCCATCCAGACCGGGATCACTTGATCAAGAAGCAAGTCACTTACGCAGCAAACGTGCCGGCCACGAAGAAGGCCAGCGTGCTGAAAGCCCTCATCTTTGCTCCCAAAGAAAGAATCGCAACGGATAAGAAAAAGAGTGAATAGTTGGCGCCCCAAGAGATGCTACCAACGGGTGAAAGATCGACCGGACAAGCCTAAAAGAGCGACAGAGTTGGATTGTTGGTTGATGCAGAAGCACAGTGATGGTGGGATCGAGTTCTTAAACAACACGCACAGCATCACGCTCGTCGCTTCCAGCATGCGATGAACCCTGTATAGCCACTGTCGATCGGCACTCGAAACAATACCGTAGCTTTGGTGAATTCGGCCTTCGGTCTACGGCATCTGTCCTGGGAGGGCGCGTCTCTGCGTTTGTCACTTCGCAAGGGAGGCACAAGTCCGCCTACATGACGATGGGCGGGCATCAGTGATGATTCAGGAAAGCCTTTCGTCAAGGTGTGGTTCGCGTGGCGTATGAACCATTGCGAGCAACTTGACCTGTCATCCTCAAGTTCCCCCCCGTATGGGCATGGCCGTATCATATTTTCCGACCGGGGACAGGGGCTCCTCTGCCGGCGGGGCCCCCCGTTGCAAGGCCCCCTTGTCCATCAAAGAGGATGCCAATGACAGCGGCTGGTATGATCCACTGCCATGCTTGCTGAACGAACCGTTGGTCTGCCTTGGACCTTGTTCAGGGTCAAATTGTCCGCCTCCCTGGCTGCAATCTTGTGCCTGCATTTTGTGATGAGATGGCGCCTTGGATAATGATCCATGGTACTCCGTATGCCTGCCAGCACGTCTCCGAATCTGAGCGGCGTAAACCCCTAATGTCCCATTTAACGCCGAGCGCCCGCACCTATGGCGGCAGCTGTGAGATGACACTTCTGGAAAGCGGCATCGCGGCAACATTGCAGGTGTTTGGGGAGGCGAGGCTATGAGAACAGCTCTGGGCGAGATATACCAGGGCTCACGGGCTCAGGAGACAGACGTGTTCAAGATGGTTAGATATGCCCAAAGTGTCTTGCAGAGGAGGTACAATTGGAAGTAGTAGATTCTCATAAAGGAATGACGATAGATCCCGTTGTTTTCTAAGTAAAGGAGTGTACGTATCCCAAAGCACGCCAAAGAACCCCTTTTTCCAACCCCACCGTAAGATCACCTTGACTCCGGCAAAAGAGAAAGAAAAAACAGGTGCTTCAAAGAGAGGTCTTACTATCTGACTTGGAGGCCGTGACAGTGTAGGTCTTTTCGAAAGCCTTGTTGTGGGGATAGTCCACCAACGGCACAAAGTCGTGCTCGTCGCCGTGCTTGGGCGTCTGCTGGACTGACACCGAATGGGCCACCTTGACGCCTCCTTGCTCCAGGCCTTGGTTGGAGTTGAGGGGGTTCGATTTGGAGCCATACCCTTGCGATCCGTACCTGGAGAAGCTCTTGGACTTGAGAATGGTCGCGCCAAGCGAGACGAGGAGATGGCGGCAGGACGGGAGGCAGCACATGATGATGCTGACGTGGACCTCGATCGTGCTCCAGTAGGCGGCGTCGACGTAGTCCCAGGTGACGTTTTGCGTGTTGGCGAAGAGCACCAGCGAGTACAGGCGGATGACGGAGATGATGGTCACAAAGATACCAAGAGAGAACATGATCATGATCATGACCTTCTTCTTCACCTCCATGTGCAAGTTCCAGAGGTTCTTGAGGGGCAGCGCCAGCAAGATGAGGTCCAGCACAATGTTGAAAATCGCACTCATCCACTTCTGGAGATGGATGTTGTTGCAGGTGCCGTTCCACTCGGGCCTGAGTTGCTGCCACGCACCTTCGGCAGGCCAGCACTGGAGGGCGGTGGCCACAATGAAGCTGATACCGTAGCCCACGACCAAGCCCGTGACGACCCACACGATCTTGCGGAAGCTCTTGTCGGGGAAGACGCGCAGAATGAAGGCCAGCAGCGAAAGCTTGACAAAGGTGATGGTGGCGAAGTAGAAGATGGACCCCAGGTAGTAGTACATCAAGACGTGCTCGACCTTGTCCGCGGTCAACGTCCACATGTCGCGACCGAGTCCGTTCTTCACCACTGGGAGATCATGTCAGTATTCCAGTCCACACGCCAGCAGCGGCACAGGTTCACCTACATGTATAAGAAAAGACAGTGGGAGGGATCGACATGAGCACAGCTATCGAGCACATGTGGTCATCCATCCCCAATGCCCGCCCGCCAGACTTGGCGAAGGTTGAACAGAGGCGCATCAGGTAGGCGAGCGCGGCCAAGCCACCACCGATCAGACCTATGAGCAAGGGCTGAAGATGCTTGTCCCGCACGGGCGCGCCGCATACGCTGTGCATTGTGATGTTCTTCATCTCAAGACTCTCGAACAGAGTGCACCCGACGAGGGCGCACTTGGTCAGTTCCGCCGTCAGCGCCTCATTGGTGCACAGGCACGCAATGTCGTCCGCCTCGCAGTCCGACTCGGGCACCAGCTCGGCCATGCATTTCTTTGCGCAGTCCGGGTAGGCCTCCTGGGCCTTCTGGATACCCGCCAGCTGTTCCTCTGATAGCGACTGAGCGGATGCAAAACCAGCCAAGGCCAGCATGGCTCGTACGAGGGTGGTCGAGAACAGCATTGTGGAACGAACGAAACAAAATGGGAGAAACAAACGAATGTGCTCTGAGGACGGAACAGATTCCCGCAATAACGGCAGGTAAAGGGCCCAGAGGATATTTGAATAGACAGAGGGTACTCGAACGATAAGGGATTTGAGCTTGTTTCTTCCTGAAGCAGAGCCAAGTAATTTGCCTCCGTCTAGGAGTCGTCATGCAGGTACAACGTATGAACCCTGTATCGAAGGGAAAGACGAGACGCGTGCAAAGGGAAGAGAAAGGTTCCCCTCTCGGTAGTTTGGACTGGAGAGGGAAGCGGGCGTGGTCTGAGGGTCCGGCAATCAAGAGCTCGTACCGTGCATGGAGGCTGTCCAATGGAGTCAGAACCCTGAGCCGCTGCCTGGTTGGTGATTGTCGTCAGTAAAATGTCCGCTGCGTCGCAAATGACACTCTCCACGTGTCGGGGAAATGTACATCCAAGGCTCGAGCTTCGAGCTCGCAAGAAGCCGCTGTGTTGGTCGAAGATTTGGCCGCCAGGTCAAGCGGCTCAAGTCAGGGCGCCATGGGTACAAGACGCACAAGCTGGGATATTTTCCCTTGGAGCAAGGAACAGATGTGATATATCGACTATAGCGGAACAGGGAGGCGTAATATGTGAGCAGCGACATGTCCCGTGGACTGAAATGTGAGTTTCCTTCAAGGCGGCCCTGCTCACGAGCCACCGGTATTCGGTCGACTGCGACCACCTGGCTGCGAGAGCCCTAGTTCATGGTCTAAAGTCCGTTTCATTAAATATAAGGTTCTGCGGTTGCAATGGTATGCTGAAGAGTTCTGCCTCGAGTATTCTCCTCGACCACAAACTCGGAGAGTCTGATGTGCATGCCGCTAGCAAGCATCAGGGGCCGTAATCCCTGACCCCGGCATGTCAAAGAACAAGGCTGCGTTTCAAAGTGTGTGCTGCCCCATACAGATCCTGGAAACATCCCAGGATAATGGAACTGGCATCCTTCCCCGGGATAAGCGAATGTCTGTCATTTCCTGATCGGGCCATCCTCCCCATATCGGCACTTGCTTGTCATTTTGAAAGTCCTCGCCATCATGAATCTGCCCGGCCCGGGGGTGGTCCTCATCTTGGCTTCCACGGTCGTGGAGAAGAGCCGCATGTCTCTGGGTTCGATGATAGTGTGATCTTTGCCTCTTCACACATCTATTACGCAGCGCCAGTCGTAACGGTCGTTCTACAACCAGCAAACAACATCCCACCTCCAGTCACTCTCTCCCGGTTGTAGCGCAAGTATGAAGTCTGCCTTTGCTGTTGGCCTGGTGGCCTTGACGAGCCTCGTTCAGGCATTTCCCACTCCAGAGAACCTGGCCAAGTTGGCCGGGCACGATGGCGAGCTGCCAGTTTCGTTCCTTGAGAAGATCGCGGAGATCAATGAGAATCAGAAGCGCAGCCTCCTCGATCCTCTCGCTGAGCCCATTCAAAGTCAGTCTCTCCCAGTGTGAACCTGCCTATTAAAGATATTTCGTTGACGCTCGTAGTCCATGGTGCCCATGAGTTTAGGGCGCCCAACTTTGCCAAAGGCGACACGCGCGGTCCCTGCCCGGGCCTCAACGCCCTTGCGAACCACGGATATCTGCCTCGCTCAGGCGTTGCTGGTGTAAGGCCACCTTTGTCGTTGCTTTGGGTCATCTGCTGATATGGACATTAGTTCTTTGAAGTGATAGAGGGCATCAATTCAGGTAAGAGCTTATGGTGTGGTGATTCTAATGCTCCGTCTTCTGACATTATCACCCGCAGTGTACGGTATGGGCGTCGACCTCGCCACGATTTTGTCCACCATGGGAACAGTTGGTGTCGGCAATCCCCTTTCGTTGAATCCAGGATTCTCCATTGGTGGGGAGAGCAGCAAGTCCCAGAACCTCCTGGGCAACCTGCTTGGTCTTCTAGGTCAGTCCAGTCCAACCAAGACAGACCGCGCATTGCTGAATGACTGGTGTCAGGAACTCCTCAGGGCCTTGATGGCAGCCACAACTGGATCGAAGCCGACTCTTCCAACACCCGCGACGATCTATACGTCACCGGCGATGCTTCGACGATGAACATGGAGCTCTGGACTGAGATCTACGAATCCATCCTGAAGAACGGCCCCATCGACATTGACATGATGGGCGATCGCGCTGCAGAGCGATACCACACGAGTGTCGGTACTAACCCTCAGTTCTGGTATGGCCCTTACACTGGCTTCATTGTCCGCAACGCCGGCTTTGCCTTCTCTGCCCGGCTCCTCAGCAACCATTCGGCAGACAACCCCTATGGAGGCGACCTCAGTAAGTGATCAGAGACTCACCAAGAACATCAGTACTCATCATTACTGTATAGACAAGGAGACCTTCAAGGCATTTTGGGGCGTGTACGAGGACGATAGCGGCAATTTCGAATACAAGAAGGGCTGGGAGCGCATCCCGGAAAACTGGTACCGCTACAACGGCCAGTACGGCCTCGTCAACCTGAACCTCGACTTGGTCCGCTTCATCACCCATCACCCGGAACTCGCCAACATTGGCGGCAACATTGGCGGCGTGAACAGCTTTGCGGGTGTCGATCTCGAAGACCTGACGGGTGGCGTGCTCAATGCTGTCTCCCTCCTGGAGGGCAACAACCTCCTGTGCTTCTCGCTGGAGCTGGTCAAGACCTTTGCGCCAAACTCGCTGTCGAGCTTGTTCAGGACACTGGCCAAGCCGCTGAAGCTGGTCAACGACGCTCTACTTGACCCCCTGCTGGACTTGAACTGCCCGGCCTTTGATGCGCTGACCAAGGGCGGGGATGATATCATGGAAGGGCTGCTGGACAAATTCCCTGGGGCCAAGAAGAGCGGTTTTGCTCTTTAACTTATAGATTTGGTTCGTTTCGGGGCAGGTTACCGCGCGAGGCGCGCTGTCTCCTCCTCTGGTTACTATCTCACATCTTTACTCTACTACAGCGCACTCACAACTAGGTGCGGTTTCACTTGACGCCTGCCCGGAGCCTGGTGAAGCATAATGATACCGTTTTGAAAGTGAATGGGAGACGCAGGTGGAGATAGCTAGTCCTTTGCAAGTTCCTGTCCATCAACAGGTGTGCCTGCTACATGTATGTATACATGTATTCTGACCTCGCAATGCTGATGGTATCATTTCGCCATGCGCCATTTACCTCTTCTAATTGTTCCTTGCGACCTGTTTGACTGGTGTCCATGGCTGCAAAGTCGACGCCATATTCAATGCTACTCTAGGACAGTGACAAACCTTGGTCCCAAAACTGACGAGCCAACCTCCACTGTCGAACCTGCCATCGTCACAGCGTAACACTGCTTCATCATCGAACAGTAGGATAACAACATTATAATCCCTTATACTTCATGCTTGGGCTCTAGTTTTATACTATAAAAATATTGAGATAACCTTTTTCCGTATTCCAAAGTTTATCCCTTTCTATATTTGAGACAGCTCTAATTAGCTTTATCAAAGAAACACAATTGCCCTATCGCTGATCTTTCTCAAGCGGACATTAAAAAAGACCTGACTAGCGAGGATAGACGAAATGGCATAGTTTGAAGAAGTTTAAGGGAATGGCTATCTTTGAACCGCGAATGATACGTGATAAGATAAGTAAGGACAGTCTATAGGGTAGGCACATACGTCGTGCTCTCTGATGCCGAGGACTCCTGCCCATAAGACCAAAGACTTGACACCAGCAGCCGGACTGATCTCCCTATTGAAAGCATAGGAGTGAGATTATCTCAATTCTGAATCGCTGGATGTGATGAGCTCACAGCATTACTGCGGAAGAGGAGAGGTTATTCCATAGGGCAAGCACAATATGAGGGGTCAACTATGTTGAACAACTGTTGTCAATATCAAATCTAACAAAATATACACGCCCTAGCCTCTTCTTTATCAATATCATGAATACGAAACTTCGACTGTCTTGGTCTGCAGGATCGCCTTGTCGCTCCCATTGTCATTATGCACCCGATCCACATTGTCGTCAGTGCCAATGTCGTTCCTAGTCGTGGGCGAGAGGTCGTGCATGTCGTCCATCTCCATGTAGCGGCTTCTTGCCTTGCGCGTCTCCTTGTTCGTTCCACCAATCGTCTCGAGACGCGCGCCCGAGCTGCCGCCATAGTGCCGATACCCACCCGAGTTGGTGTTGGCGGATGAGCCGCCCATGAGGCGCGGGGCAAAGTGCTTGAAGAACTTGCGCAGGGTCGGCATGGAGCCGCAGATGATGAAGAGGTTGGCTTCGATGAGGCTGGACCAGTGAGTCAGCAGAGGTCACTGTAAGAGGAAAGGAGAGGGGGGATACGTACGACCAAATGTTGGCTTGTGCCGCGTCCCAGGTGAGATCTTGGGTGTTCAACACATTCATCAAGTAGTAGAGGCGGACGCCCGAGGTGGCGACAGTCACGGAGCCGACGCCAAAGATGAAGACGGCACCGGCCTTTTGCACCTTGCTCATCCGGAGCTTGACCACCATGGGGATCGGCAGGACAAAGAGCATCAAGTCGGTGACAATGTTGGAGACGGCTGTTGCGATGTACAGCGCCCCTGGATTCAAGCAGTCGCCCTCGAGCTGAGGCATGTACGCCTTGGCGGGTGGTCGGCAGTAGAGGTACAGCATCAGCGTGATGACAGTGGAGGAGACGGCGACAATGGCAATGGCAATCCAGTTGGCAATCTTCCAGCCCCTCTGCGGCGAAATTTGGAGGTAGAAGGTGAGCAGAGACAGCTTGGTGAAGCCGTTGCACATCTGGAAGATGCCGGCCGTGGCGTATGTGACGGGCATATCCTTGGCGAACCGCGAGGCGATCATCTCCCACCCGTGCAGACCCAGCGTCTTGTTGGCGACCTGATAGCACATGAGGGCTTGCGTGGTCACCGAGGTTATCCAGGCGAAAAACATGAACACTGGCAGACTGGTTAGCATCCGGTTGTTTGTCGGTAGGGAGATGGTGTCATCGTACAATCGTCGACTGCTAGACCCTTGGAGAGGAATGCCTTGGTGTAGAAGCGCTGGCAGAGCGCGATCAGTGCGAGCGAGCCCATGACGCCAAAGATAAAGTAGTGCTCCTGGACGAACGACCGCACCGGATCTCTCCAGCTGAACTCGTCGGTAGGCCAGTCATCCGGCGGGTGTATAAACATGACCTCGCCGTCGACGATGAAGGGCGGTTCTGTGGACATGGTCGCGTGCTCTTCGGTGTACTGTCGCAAATCGAGGCGTCCTCCCTTTGTGCGTTGTCGATGGGTTGTAGCCGCTCGCCACACTGAGCAGTGCACACAGTGATAGTGGGCCTGGAAGAGATTTACACGTATTCTCGCTGCGTAGTCGATCTGGCGCAATTGGAAGTGGAAAAGGAAGACAGCAAGGCCCGCCCTACGAGATGTGAGACTCACAGGGGAACAGGGTGCAATGGGAGCATGACTTTATGGGTATCACATCTCACTCACTGGCATCAGAGTCTTGATCCACCGATCGACGGATTCGGTTCTTTACGCATTTGTATGGACGGGGAGAACATGAAGCGAGAGCCTAACTAAGAGCCAGGCAGGCGGGTTTGATCCGAAGGAATGGCCCCCCAGACTGGCGATTCAGGGGAATGGTGTGATGATGTGTGTCTACGGGGAAAGCTGTCCGTCCAGGGCTGAAAGAGGCCGCATTCCGGAGACGCGCATTGACGCGACTTGGACGAAGACCCTGGATTTGGAATTGTTCCTCTGTTGCTCGGAGGACAAGCAGGTGAGACTTGTTGGGGGTTCTACCATTCTACGGATACCACGCTACGCGCCAAGACACCACCAGGACGCCTTGTCCTTGACAAATTATCTTTGGCCTGTCTCGCCGGATTGGCGGATTCCCCAGAGTGCCCGTCCGGCGACAGGGAATGTGGATGAAGCGGCGAAATCAATCGTGGCTCCGTGCTGATCTATTCTCTTTCGTGAGTGGCGCCAGCTCATCGTTCCCCAGTCCAATCGTCCGGATCGCTTGGCTAGTGCTTTGTGCATGTGCTGTACGCAATACTGCTCTGCAGCTTCTCCCTATTATTTCTCACACGAGCAAAGGAGGTTCCCTCTCGGGGCCTCTCTCAAGTCTCAGCTCGTTCCAGCGCGGAGTCTCAACCGTGTGGAGCGTGGGCTGAGCGTCGCTTGGATCAATGCTGGCTTGGCGGTCGTGCTACTTAAGTTAGCTTTATTATAAGGCTGCCTGTTTGTGCCGGTACATGCAGTAAAAAGGCTCGTCAGCGGCAATCGGCAAGGCTTCGCACTTTTGTCGATTGGGACTGGGAGGCGCCCACTAATCAAGTTGGTCTAGCCATTTTGGACGCCGACGCAAGCGAGGAGCCCGATACGTGCGTACGGTCCTTCGGTTGCTGGAATCTTGGCTGGTCAGGATCTACGGACATTTAACCGTAGAAGCAAGCATCTTGAGTCGTGCGTATGCATATCTGGTGTAGAAAGGTCCAGCCGTCATGGTAAGGGTTCTTGTCTTGGCTAGGCGAGTGGGATGAACTATTGACGACGCTGTTCCATTCTCGCAATCTCGTTCACCGACTACGTACGAGGTTTGCGTGAGCCTTGGAGGGAGGAGGCCAGGCTTCCATCGGATCGGACGCGATATTACCGCATCTGCTCAGCGCCGGTCCAGCGAGCGAGCGACTCCAGCGAGGCCAAAAAGTCTGACGCTTACTGGCTGGGCGAGGTCTGCCCCCTTGACTGCCACGCAGGTACTTCTGCAGGATCAGCCAGGGGTCAGGCAGAGATTAATGTGCCGCGCATCTGGCCATCTGAATGAATCCGTATGGGCCCCGTCACCGTGGGATTGGGCGATGCCTCGTGGCATTGAGGCACACGTGCATTCCTCAATGCCGAGGGAGGCACAGCAATATTAATTATTGAAACGTTCACGACCAACATGCCCAAGGCTTGACTTGACGTCTGTCGTCGCAGATGCTGTGGTGGGCGCGACAGCCGGTCCCCAGAACCGCCACAAGTGACAAGACTCGATAGTTTACGGGACTGATTATGCTTACTGGTGAGCGTAACAAGAGGGGCAAGGCATTGAGGGGGTTTTTGGGCGTTCGCGGCCCACCGCTCCCCTCGGACAAGAACGGTGGGCGTCCGGGAGGGCGTTCGGTCGGCGTCTCTTGAAAATTGTGGGCGGTGGCAACGCGTCTCCTCCTCGACTCTCTTGAGTCTTGTCTGGACTCTGGACTCTGGCGGGAGAAACGGGACTGACGGCACCCGTCCATTATCGTCTGGCCAAGTATTGTTATTATTATCAATGATTCTTCAGCCCGTCCGCCCGTGCACCGACTGCTAAGGACTCCAATGCCTGGCCGGCCATCCCTCGTCCCGACGGCGACTCGGCGTCCCCCATGACTCGCGGTGGGCTGGGGACGGGCCCGTCCATGCAGGCCATCCATCCATGGACCATAATTCGTCAGGGACCATGTGGAGGAGGACGGGCTCAGCTATGCGAGTTGCGATTTGTTGCTCTTGTCGGCCACACAACCCGCCACCGCTAGTGCTGCTGCTCATGCTGCTCATCAACACGAATGCTGAGCTAGACTCTATTAGCTGCGTCGGCCTCCAACGGCAACAATGCGAGCTCAGGCGCAGCAATTCATCAATCCGTAACTCCATCTTCTGTCCATTGGCCTGCGTACTGACCGAGGCGGACCCGAAATCTCGTGGATCCCTCGAGGATTAATAAAAAGACGCTTCAGCCTCGATCCTTTTCCACGTGTCAGCCGCACGCCCTCGCTGATCCCTCCTCTCCCTCTCCTTGACCTCCATTGCCCTGCTGGCTGCTGCTGCTGCTTCTTCTTCCCTCTCTGGCACGCATCGTTCGCACGCACGGGGCGCCATGAAGATCTCAACCACCACCCTCGCCCTGACGGCCTTGGCCGCGGATCTCGTCGCGGCTGGCAACATCAAGCCCAGCTGCCAATGTGTATGTTTCACCCGCCATGCTCCTTGAGTCTCCTCTCTAACGGTTTCCTCGCCTGCAGTGCTCCGCTCTCGCCACGAACCCCAGCCTCGTGGGCAAGGTCTGGACGCCCGATGACGAGCGCTACGATGCGCGTCTGAAGGAGTACTACTCTGCCAACGCCGCGCAGGCGCCCTGGTGCATGGTCCTGCCCGAGAGCACTGAGGATGTCTCGACCCTCATGAAGGTCCTCACGGAGCACTCGTGCCCCTTTGGCATGCGCTCCGGCGCCCACACTGCCTTCCAGGGAGGCAATGGCATCAAGGACGGTGTCACCGTGGACTTTGGTACGCGTTCCTCGTTTTGCGAGTCATCGCACCGCAAGGCGCCCATGCTGACATTCCAGGGCACCTGAACGCGACCACCTACGACGAGACCACCCAGATCGCCTCCATGAACCCTGGCCAGACCTGGGGCGACGCCTACAAGGTCCTCGCCGACTACAGCGTCGTCGCTATTGGCGGTCGCGCGGACGTTGTCGGCATCGGAGGCTTCACCACTGGCGGTGGCTACTCTTTCCACACGGGTGTCCGTGGCTTCGCCTGCGACAATGTCGTCAACTTCGAGGTCGTCCTGGGCGACGGCTCCATCGTCAACGCCAACGCCGAAGAGAACCACGATCTCTGGGTGGCGCTCAAGGGTGGCTCGGGCAACTTTGGCTTCGTCACCCGCATCGACCAAAAGGTCTGGCCCTCGTCCGAGATCTACGCCAACCTCAACTCGTACAGCATCGACAAGAGGCCCGCGGTCCGCCAGCGCTACTACGACTTTGTCAACAAGCAGGACGACGAGCCCGAGAGCCAGGTCATTGGAGCCATGAGCTACGCCAACGGCGCCTGGGCCTGCGCCATCATCATGTCCAACATTGACGCCGAGATCAGCGACGTCTTTGACCCCTTCTTCGAGATCGAGTCGACCACGTCCATCCCTGCGACCGGTCCTGCGCACGAGGTCGTGCCCATCTTCACGGGCCCCACGCCCCTGGGCCTCTACGCCAACTGGCAGACCGGCATGGTCGACCACAACCTCGAGATCATGGAGGCCATGGACGAGATTGTGTTTGAGTACTTCAACAAGGCCATCGGCCTCGTCGAGGACGGCGAGAACAAGATCCAGCTCATCTGGCAGTGGCAGCCCGTCACCCAGGGCATCGTCGACGTGATGCAGAAGCAGGGCGGCAACGCCCTCGGCCTCGACGCCACCGTCCTCGACGGGCCCGTCATCATGTACAACATTGTCTTCACCGCCGACACCGAGGAGACCCAGGCCGCCACCCTGCCCACCATCTTCGCCCTCAACAAGGCCATCCTCGCCAAGGCCGACGAGCTCGGCCACAACAAGCACTGGCAGTTCCTCAACTACGCCCACGGCAGCCAGGACCCCATCTCCCACTACGGCGCCGAGAACATCGCCCTCATGAAGGCTGTCTCGGCCAAGTACGACCAGGGCCAGGTCTTCCAGAACCTGCGCCAGACCGGCTTCAAGCTCCCGGCGTAGACGCCTAGGTCCTTCACACAAAGGAAAGGGTCAATCGCTTATTCCTGTCCCGCCATTGTGGGCAGAATACCATTTCAATCTGTACATACTCATCTAGTCACTGCGTGTTGACTTTTCATATATTTAGACAAAGATCGAATGAGAGAATCGTGAATATGCTTCATCCGCTGGGCTTTCCCCACAGCAGTGCTAAGCGTGATGAGTCGAAAATGTGTTTACCTTCGAGACCTTGAGCTCATGCAGATCTCAGATGCTTGCATTCGTGCGTCTCATACGCACTCGAAGCGTAGTGTGCCTTTCTGACACGCCCAAGCTCTTCCTGGCGACACCCGCCAATGTCGGTTCAGCGCTCATCTGACTCAAGTCAGCATCGGTGACCGTCAGCTTACACTGCCCTCTCATCGATGTGCTCAGTCAGCGTGGACTTGATGCTGTAAAGTGGTGCGTCAAGCGACAAGACCCGGATGGAAACTTGTGGAAAGCCAACCATGATCCGGGTGAAGCGTCTTCACGTCTGGCCCTTGGTGGGCTTGGCGAGCATCTAGTCCACCGTGTTGCCTGTCAAGGTGACTCTGAGGAAGATGTCAGTGGCGCAGCTGCTTTAATCGGTCGTGTTCTTGACGCGACGATACAAAGCTGCTCTCGGGCATTCTTCTCTGTCTCCGTGATTGCCGAAAGTCGGCAGGTCATGTGCGTAAGTAGAAGTATCGTAAATCATGCCAAACACCGTCAAGGCGGCGCGTCGCATTTCGACTGGAGCGCCTCGCGCAGCACCTGGAGACTGACAGGCTTTGTCAGGAACACGTCGATGCCACTCTCCAGTGCATGCTGGTGCGTGCGATGCGACGCGAGACCCGTGAGGGCAAGGATCACCACCGCTTGCGCGTGGGTCTTGTGCTCGTGTTCACGGATCAGCCGGGTGGCCTCGAGCCCGTCCATGACGGGCATGGAGATGTCCATGAAAATGCCGGCAAAGGTCGTGGGGTCCTGCATGTAGGCCTCGACGGCTTCCTGTCCATTCGTCGCCAGTTGATGCGCTTGCCCCAGTTTCTTCATGAGCGCAGAGAGGACCTTGAGATTGATCGGATTGTCATCCACGAGCATGTACTTCTTCTTCTCAACGCCATTCTCCGTCCCAGTCGACTCTCGATCGATCACATTTCCATGCTCACTGGGTCGGACAGTGACAGTTGGGGGTTTGTCGCTGGCCACCCGTTTCGCGCTGGGCTGCGGCACTCCAGGAAGTTCAAGCCATGCTCCCCTGGCTGCCTTGGTACCGGGGCTTTCGGTGTGTAAGCTCTGGGCACGCTGCGGTCCAGATGGGCGTGTCTGCAAATGCAGCTTGGGCAAACCTCCTCGTCTGTGAATAGCATCCATGGCGGCCCTTGCCAGAGCTCGGGGCCCAATTCTGTTTGTCTGTGAGCTGGTGTACGGGGATTAAAGGGTCAGATGGTTCAATACTCACGGTTGAGCCACAAATTCAAACACTCGGTCCCGATTGATGTTTTCGAACTCCGCCGACAGCTGCCGCGCCGCCAGCGCATGGCGGCAGACCACGACGTTGGGTGTTCTGGCCAGCTGATCGAGATGCTCGCGCGTGTATGGTAGGGCATCTTCCGACCAGATGACTATGTCTGGCGGCGTAGCCTCGCCAACAGACAACTCGAGGCCCAGCCAGCGGTGGCAAATAGTCTCTACAAGCACGCGCCCATGCTCGCTCCACGACGGTCCAAAGCCACAGAGACCGACCCGCAGTCCTCTGAGCTCACGGACTCGGTCGTCGAACCCATCATCGGGGTCAAACACGTCGCTTGGAGACTCATGGACTTGCACTGACGGTTGCAGCGGCAAGGTCACTGCGACCGTAGTGCCGACGCCAATCTTGCTGTCCACGGTAATCTTGCCGCCCAGCTTGGCAGTGACCTTCTTGACGAGGCTCAGCCCAAGACCAGTGCCAGGCGCGAGCTCGTCCTCTTGGGAGAAGGGCTGAAACAACTTGTGTCGAAGGAATTCTTCACCTATGCCCTTGCCCGTGTCTTGTACCGTGATCTTGACAAGCCGTTCGCGGGGAGACGGTCGAGTTCGCATCTGTTCCAGTGAGACGCGGATCATGCCCTTTGAGGTGTACTTGAGGGCGTTGCCGAGGAGATTCATGACGATTCGGCGGACCACCCCAGGTTGTACGTGGAACAGCCAATCGCAGGACGGATCGATGGATACATAGAGGGAAGTGCTGCCCCAGAGAGAATCTCGTCCCGCCCGACTTAGGTGATCCATAGCCACCTCGCCATCAAACGATTTGCGAGCGGCCAAGAGCGACTCGCCTGGCCCGCTTTGCATGGAAACCCTGGCGGCAGACATGCTCTGGAAGCTAAAGCCGGCGTACACACTCTCCGAGACCTCCTCGACCAGGGCATCTAGTCTGACGTGCCTGTACAGAGACTTCTTCCCAAATCCAGCCGAATCAACCCTCTTGTGACGCGGGCGACTAATGTTGCCAGAATATTGTCCATTCTCCTCTGCGAAGCTGTTCACCTTGGAGTAATCCAGTAGATGATCAATAGTGTCAAGCAAGGTGCGGCAGCACGTTTCGATGGTGTGCACAGCGTTGCTCTGGAACACGCCTAGGTCCGTGTCGCTGAGCAGCTCGCAGCTGAGAACAGCGCCGTGCAGCGGAGACCGCAATTCGTGCGACAAGGAGCCGAGGGTGTCCGACTTGGCCTTGTTAGCTTGGTGCGTCTCCAAGCTGTTGACTTCCGAGGCCACGAGCTTCCCAAACGCCAAGAAGAAGCTGAGCTCGCCTTGGGTGGTGAATATGCGCGACGCGGCGCATGTGTACATGAAGCCCCCGGCGAGCCATCGCTGATCTCTTGTATCCCATACGGGAGCAAAGACAACGCTGCGCGCCGAGGGGAATGCGCGGTGTATGAAATCACCTTCGTTGAGCCTCCTGCGGGCTCTTCTACGCTGCTCCTTGGGAGGCGATGCTGCTTCGCTACTCCCATCGGGAGGGTGCGGCTCTGACATGGCATCCCCCTCCTCCGAGGCGTCGCTTGACTGGAGTTCACCCTCCGCATCAAAGTGGAAGACCTTGCCTTGGGGGTATCGCTTGAGCAACTTGGCGAGGAACCGTGTTGGCATGGTCCCAAACTTGGGGGCTACTGCCACTGGGTGGTTGATGCTGGATGATTCCGTGGTGGCAAACCCGATCAGACCGCAGGGCGCATCTCGCGCCTCGCTATCAAGAGGACGACCTTGATCCTCGCTGCTGCTGCCCGTCAACGTGGCCTCTTCGGTGGTCATCTCTTTGGCAGCTGGTTCTGGCCCTTTAGAAGGGCGGGGGCGCCAGTCGGCAGCCTGTGCCGTGCTTAGGAACGCACAACCATCCACCTCGAATCCCTCTCGAAGAATATTGGCCGCCCTTGAAAAGATCAATTTTGACTCGTCCAAGTCCCGGTTGGGGGGTGTTGTGGTGGCGACAGCTGGCGGCGGATGTGACAGCTCACCGTGCTGCAGTACGCTTGGTGCCTGTTTCTCCCCGCTATCTTCACTCTCGAGACGCTGCTGCTGCGCATCGAGGGCGCCTTCTGGTCTGCTGTCGTCATCCATAAAGGCGGCGGTGTTCGCTCCCGACTGCCAGCCGCTGAGAGTGCCCTTGCCCTCGATGAAGGAGCCCAGCCCTCTGTTCAGGCGCTCATGCTGTCGGGACTCGACCCTAGCCCTCCTGAGTTCGAGATGTTCCGTGATAGCCCCGGAGATGTCGCGAAGACGCTGTGTACACTGTTCATCCCACAGAGGGGGCGGGACCGTGCTCATGACGCAGTACGCCCCAATGTCGATGCCCCTCCGGGTGCGGATCGGTACCCCGGCGTAGAACTGGCCAGCCTCCCCAAACTGGCAGAACGGTCGCGAAGAGAACCTCTTGTCCTTGGTGAGGTCGGGGACGAAGGACAGGGGCAGTTTGGTGTCGTCGCCGCTGTCCTGGGCGTTGGCTGTCAGGTAGAGCACATGGTCGCACGTCCCCTGGTCGCGCGGGATGGCGGTGCCTCGGAGCGCCAGGGGAGCCGTTTGGCCGAGGTTGGGCAGGCTCGGGGCGATGCGCAACTCGGCTGTTGCTTCGGCGAGGATGTACTGATGGGTCGCGTCGAACAGGGAGACAAAGGCGCGCTCGGTGCCCGTCTGGTGTATCCCCAGCTGAGCCAGGGCAGTCAGTACGCTGTCGGGTGCCGTCGTGAGCTCGAGGCTCGGAGGAGCATTGCCATCGCGGGCAAATCGGAAGTAGCTCGAAAGCAAAGGGTAGTATCTACAGTCACGGGATGGTCAGTCTTGGACATGTGCGCGTCAGCTTGGGTACGCCCGAACCTGAAGGTCTCGCGCTCCCTAGCGCCTTCCGAGGCGTCAAAGAGCTTGGCAGGCGCGCAGCAAGCCATTGTGAATCGGCCCGAGCAGAGTTGACCGTGGCATCGATGGTCGCACCAGGGCAGTCGAGGACGGACTCGAGGCAGATGTTGATGGTGAAGTCGCGGGTTGCGTGGACTAGAGTTGGGAATGCAGGATCAGAGGTGGTAATCCAGGACCTGACTTGGTTGAGCAGCACTGCACGTACTACGGAGCACAGCTCCTAGTCTAGTGACAATAGCGCAAGGATCAAATAGAAAGATCAATCAGGTAACTGGATGTAACTGGATGTGCAGAGGCATCTGGGGGACCTGCATCATCTCCACCCACAGATCGACTCGATCAGTATTTCGGCCAAACATGACATCACCATCAAGAAAAGTCGATTTGCTGCATGCTCCTTGCAGTCTAGAAATCGGCCAAAGTCAGTCAGTAATTGCTCGACCAGTGACTAGACCGTCCTATCGAGGCAGTGCTTATTTCGGTATCTGAAAGATACTATTAATTAGAACCAACAGAACCGAAGTACAGAACTCGAAGTGGCCCGGCGTAGTTTGTCATCACTGGTCTAGACCCCAAACATCTAGCTCTAGACCACATACTCTAGCGCTGTGTCGTGCTGTAAGTTTGCGACTAGACAAAAGGCTGGCTGATGATTGGTCTTGGCTGGAGGTCTGGTCGCGGCTGGCAGACTGGACTTCCGCCCCCCGGGTAGCTGGGCCACTCCATGTCACTGGAGAATTTTCAAGTTCGACTTTAAGATCGGCTTTCGAGGACCGGATTTCAAGTATTCCATGCCGTCCAGCAGAATTACTTGTACCACCCTTTCTACGTACTACGTACGTACAACAGGCATAGCGCTAGGAGCGAGGCGTAACCAACATCTTGTGGTTATCATTATCCGACCCTACCACCGCTTTACGGTGTTAATAGTTCCCACCAGACGAAAGGACTGGAGTGTTTTTGAAGTTTCCCATCGGCCTGTCGGCAGGCACCCACCCTCTCTGCCGCAGGGTGGTGATGGTGGTGGGGGGGCCTGGCGACAGGACAAGGACTGGAGCCGCCGATACCTTTCCATCCATCACCAGGCATTTCCTCTCAAAACATACAGGAAAAGACTTGCAAAAAGGACTCGTACTATATACGTGTATTTATCTGTCCATCTTGGCACCTTGCATATAGCCTCGACGATGCTGTTCCGGCCTGCAGGGTCAGGCGCTCCTTTGGCCTGGTGCGGGGTGCCTTCCAGTCACTGGCACTGGCAGTGACATCAGCGGGGCCCTCCACCCCTCCCACCCCGGGCCACCGTCATCCCTCATCGAATTCCTGAATCGCATCAGTGCCAAGATGCGGATTCGACAACAATTAGGTTTTCAGGCATACCCGCGGGCAGGCATTCGCGCGTTTGAGAGACCAAGTTGTATACATAGTAAGCACTGATACCAATTTCTCCTATCTCGGGCCTGTGGAAGCTGGTTACGTAGATCATGACGGCATCTCACACCTTTAATTGCGTAGCAGGTACTTATCTATCCTCAGTGCTCCATGTCGCTGTCCGCAACATTCCCCTTGTCTCTCAACTCAACTGGCGATAATACGCGTCTGCGAGCTCATGAGCGTCACGGTCGATGAGATACGCCCGTTACGACACCTCTCAATGGCTCTCGAGTCGCTTGATTTCTTCTGCCTGTCGTGGGCAACCCAATTTGCATCGTTCACTCCCGCCATTCATCCCTACATTGACCGCCCGCCGCCTGTCGACACTGCCCCATCATGAGCTCGGAAAGCCATACTGAGCAATATCCATTGCTGCACCTATCATCTTCTAAGACGCCGCTCCCACTGACGCAGTGTGAGCTGGTTCGTCTGCAACCGGGCGATGACCTCGGTTTTCAAATGGTATTGATCAGGTCAAAAATAGACGCTCAATTGTCTAACAGATAGCAGCTGCGCAGGGACCAGGATCGGCTGCCGCTCTATGTCACGGCTGACTTCGAGTCAGACGCCCCCTTGATCGCGCCCCGCGAGGCAGCAACAGCAGCGCCAAGCTGTGCGCAACAGAACCGCCCCAAACAAGAGCTGGTGCATTTACCACAGTCGACTGCAACAGTGCGAGATGGCGCACGGCCCCAGCACATGACCGGAGCCCCAGCCTACGACGTGGTGCAAGGACAAGCAGCTGAGGCACCCAAATTGGCTCCCAGCCCGACGAGGAGCGTCTCCCATCTTGGGTGTTCGAGCTGTGGTGTACGGAGAACACCGTATTGGCGCACAGGCCCCAATGGCAAAAACACACTCTGCAATGTCTGCGGGCTTGTGTGGCGCAGACGACGGAGTGTAGCTGCCAGTGTCACCCAAAGGTCCGCCGTCATCGAAGAACGGACAGGGCATCCACCATTGTGACTTTTGCCCCTGGAGATCAGCAGCACGTCGTCCGAGGACCATGTGAATCTGCTTGTACACAATTGCATACGGACGGAGAAACAGAGAGATACCCAAGGCTGCAACGCCTGCGGCCTTCCGGGGAAAGCTATACCTGGAATGTCTTTACCACGTCCGCGATTTTCCGCCTTCCCTGTGAGCCCTGCGACTGAAATGGAAGGACGTTGAGCTACGGTCAGCACACATTTGCATATCTGCCTACCCCCATATAGAAAAACACAGGTGATGCGCCCTGTTATTGGACAATCAAATTTGCGGAGTTTGTCCACGACTGAATCATGCTGCGAAAGAGGCGGCTTTGTTTGGGCGAACTGATATCGCTGCACAAGTCCATTATGAACACACGACACACGTACCATGCAGGCATTGGATCAAATCTGTTGACAGCGCTGCTCTCCTCACAAATTTATTTAACCTTACATTCATGAGGACACCTCGCTTTGCTTTTGGCAAACAGATGCAGGGGTGTGTAGGGTAGCTTGATAGAACCTGCGAGGGAGAAGCTTGAAAAGCAACGCTATCTTGAACTTATTTCCCGGGTTGAAACAGAGTCGCATCGTAATGAACAAAGTTTCGGCCATTCCAGGGTGTTGCTCCGGACCCCCTGATGAACGACAACCCCCGCATGATCTGATCTGATGCTAATGCACGTTGCCGACAGCCCGTCTTGAAATGTCTCGGGATTTGGCGGTGGGATATCATTGTTTAACAGCTTTCACAATTTGACAATGTCTGACAGCTGCCAGTGAGAGATTTTAATGACTCTGTTACAGCCAGGCTGCGCTAGGCAGTCCTCTTCGTTAATCGTCCCTGAAGCGGCGACGCTGACTCGGGTCTGGTGAGAACAATAACTACTTGTTGAACCCAGAGGTAGTTGACTGTTGGACTCTTAGCCAGAATACGGGCTCAACTTTAGAAGCTCTAATTGCGCAACGCACAAGATACCGTATTCATTAGTTACGAGCATGCTAAATTGTCTCGGATCATTATTATTATTATGATCACCTTGCTTGCCTGACTATAATTAGCGCGCCTCGTGTTACGGCTCGCCAGACTTGACTCGGCCTTGACCTCCGCTTGCCGAGCTAGCGTACAATACGAGACGTGAAAGACAGAACAAGTCGTGCACTATGCAGCGATGCAGAGGGGCTCTGTGAGCACTTATTTTGGACCGCCTCCGCCCCTGATGACCACGCTAGGATGCCCCAGCCAGCTGACTTTGCGTCATAAATTTCATGTTCATAATTACTCCCCCAGCAACGCTCAATTTGAGATTGTCTTCTTCCTCTTCTCTCTCGCAACGACTATTCATTCATTTCTCATGTATCATTTTTCGGCGTTCTTTGCGCATCTACTTTGAACGATGCGCGTTGCCACTCCTCTTGTAGCCTCTTTGGCGCTCCTCCCGTCTGCGTGGGGTCGAATTAAATACTTGGTACGGTTCCCGCTTAGATCCAATGAGCACTCACAGGGCTGACTCTTTTCAGGGCGTTGCTATACCGGGGATTGACTTCGGCTGTGACATTGATGTATGGAACTCCTTCGCTGCTCATGATTTTATGGCCCGGCAACTGACCACTGAACCAGGGCTCCTGTCCGCCAGGGAATAGGAAATTCCCTTTGTTAGAGATGGGCGGTGGTGATGGCGCGGGCCAGATGCAGCATTGGACGGAAAATGCGGACATGAACACATTCCGTCTTCGTGAGTATTCGCCAACGCCCTAGAAGGGTGACCAGCAGTGTGTTGACGGGAAACGCAGCGGTGCCGTGGCAGTATCTTGTCAACAATCAACTAGGCGCAAAGATGGACGAGACCAACTTCGACAACTACAACAAGCTGATGAAAGCATGCCTGGACACTGGCTCATACTGCATGATTGACATTCACAACTTTGCCCGGTGGAACGACGGCATCGTTGGTCAAGGAGGACCTGACGACGAGGAGTTTGTCGACATCTGGGTCCAGCTGGCAAAGAAGTATGCAGACAACGACAAGGTCATGTTTGGCATCGTAAACGAGCCCCACGACTTGGACATTGTCCGCTGGGCACAGACATGCCAAAAGGTCGTCACAGGTATCCGCAAGGCCGGCGCCGAGTCACAGATTATCTTGCTCCCGGGCACCAATTTCGCAAGTGCCGAGACTTTTGTGTCGAGTGGCAGTGCGGAACTGCTGGCCAAGATCTCGAACCCGGATGGCAGCAAGGATGGTCTGGTTCTCGATCTGCACAAGTACCTCGATATCAACAACTCGGGCACACACGTCGAGTGCACCACGAATAATGTCGCAGGGTTCAAGACCATCGGAGATTGGCTCAGGAAGAACAAGCGCCAGGCCATCATCTCAGAGACGGGCGCGTCCCTGGATCCCACGTGCATCGAGAAGTTCTGCACCCAGAACGAATACATTGCCAAGAACACGGACGTCTTTGTCGGCTTCGTCGGCTGGGGAGCTGGCAGCTTCGGGACTGACTATGTCATGAATCTAACGCCCTCTGGCGAGGCTGACAACTACCAGGACAATGAACTCATGACCGAGTGTATCATCAAGCCTTTTGTGGGAGAGGCGCCCAAGTCCACGGCTACCGAGGAGAAGACGTCGACGGAAACCGCATCCAAGACGAAGAGTACTGCGAGCACCGCGACTACTACTCCATCTACAAACACGGCAAATCAGATATTTAAAGAGACGCCCTCTCACTCGGGTGATGAGTCTTCAGAAACATCTGCTGCTAGCGAGGAGTCCAACAGCGAAGACGATGATGGTTCGGCTGCAAATCCGAGAATGGGCTCTCCGGCCGTGGGAGCGACTTTCGCGATTGCCATGTCCCTTTTCTTTGGAATGCGACTCGTCTGAGACCTCGACTCGGTCTCGGGTTGCCGACAAAATTCATCACAATTTGCTAGGGAAGTGATTAGATTTAGACAGAATAATTATAGATACATGTATATATAGCGAGTATGCTAATCATAATAAGGGACACAACGAGCCCCAAAAATGTTCACACGCCGAGTCAGGACTGCAGAGGGCAGATCAGCGACATCCAGGCAAAGGATGTGAATGGTGGCTCTGCAGCGCCTTTCTTTCGGCGCAAAATACCGAGCGCTGCCGAGAAATAAGCTTGAATTAGGAATCCGAAACCTTACACCGCTTCACCCCACAAGGCTGAGCGCGAGGAGTACGTGCTTCGTCGGAAAGCAGCAACAGTACCGGCACATACATACAAGGATCTGCTGTCTTGACTGACTATGGAAAGCTGGACAAAGATAGCCAAAGTGGCTCTTGCTGGGTCACAGTAATTATCCAACAATGACAAGGCGCAAAACTCAAAGTCTGCATCGGTGCTCAACGCCTCCAGCAATAACATTGGTATCTTTGTGCGGGGAGCCTTGTCCAGATTCCAGGGACGCATGTGGAGGAAATGTGTTCCCCGCGTGCTACATGCCCCAGATGACAGGGGAGTTCCCCGCATAATGGCTCATATTTTGCTCTGATTCATGGAAAATGCAGAATAGAGTTCCTCCGGACGCAAAAGCCGTGTGTATTATCCAGTGGGCATGACGTCTGTAGCGACAATACTTCCGTTCTACTTTGACGTCGCCAACATGAACGAAGCCCAAGCATGATCGGCATATGGATGAGTATAAAAAGAGTAGATGGTGACGCATAATGTACTGGGCCCGTTGTTGTCCTCAGTGTCAATCCGCCCTTGAGCTCCTCTCCGCATAAGAGGCCCTTCAACTTGACTCTAGCCCTCGCTCCCCAAAGCCAATCACTATGAAGACTGCCCTGATCCTCGGGCTACTGCCCGTTCTGGTTCAGTCGTCTCAAGTCCTCGACTGGACACACACTGGCGGCCGCCTCATGAAGCGCCAGAACACAGGAGATGGGGCCCAAGGAGATGCAGACTCTTCCCAATCTGAGCTCACCGAAAGACCAGCTCCTCGATTCCCCTTCCCCGTGACAAAGTTCCCCGTGGCCAAGGAGACGGTCGTCCTTGAGAATACCTTCTATGTACCCGCCGGTGCCACCTTTGACGGCGGCATGAAGCGTTATGAGCGACCCGAGGGTAGCTGCAACGAGCAGGCTGAGGGTACAGACGCTGACGCTGTCTTCAATCTGCTTCCTGGTGCCACCATCAGGAATGTGATCATTGGGAAGCATCAATCCGAGGGTATCCATGCTCTGGGCGACGCCTGGGTCGAGAATGGTCAGTCTCCTACGTGGCCGCTTGTCGAATCATGTGCAGTCTAATACGTCTTTCAGTATGGTGGGAGGATGTCTGCGAAGATGCCTTGACGGCAAAGGGTCTCAACACCCAGCTCAAAGTCATTGGTGGCGGCGCTCGCAACGCGACTGATAAGGTATGCACATGAACAGACTCATGAGAAGAAGCCACAATCCGTGCTGACGGCATCAGATCTTCCAAGACAACTCGCTCGGCGGCAAGTACAACATCACCGGCTTCTACGCGGACACCTTTGGGTCATTCTACCAGTCTTGCGGCAACTGTCTGAACCAAGCCAAGCGCAACGCCACCATTCAGAACGTCGTGGCCGTCGACGGAATCCGCATGGGTATTGTGAGTACACCAGTCCTGTCTTTGTCCTTAACACTGCTGACGGCGCTAGATCAACCCCAACTACGGTGATGAATTCCGCTTGAAGAACGCCCAGATCGACAACGTCGGCATTATCGTCACGAAGGAGATTGGCAACAACGTGCAGACGGTCCCCTATCACATTGGTGAGGGCCCCGACGAGAAATATGCTCTCTACAACACCACGACAGACAATATCGTTGAGGGCTTCAACGGCACCGTCACCAATGTGTACGAGCCAGAGGATCCGTATGAGTGGCTCGAGGAGTTCTGGCCCGATGGTTTCTGGGAGTAAGGAGGAGACTGGTGTTTCCCCTCAAGAAATCACTTTTTAGGACTGCGATGGTCCGTAAACAATTATTGATAATAGGTGAAATTCCTCTAGATCAGAAGCGCTCGTGTCTGCCGACTGGTCTGTGTATCACAGACCGTGCTGTCTGTCTGTTTTTTCGCGTGTTTCCCGAGTATTTTTGGAGCAAGACACGCAAAGAAAAAATCAAGAACAAGAACAAAGGAAGACTCAAAAAAAAAGGCGCATGTTCTCGGATGTATCGCAGTAGCGAAGTAATCCGAGAACCTGCTGGTACATGTGCCCAAACCCAGACTCGAACTGGGGTTTCCACGGTTCTGAATATGTGATCCACAACGTGGTGCCCTAACCACCTAGACTATTTGAGCTATTCCATAAGAAGGCAGTTGTCGTATACCGGGTTATGAGCGAACATTTAGTACTGTCTAGCAAAGAGATACAGAAATCTCCATGATCCACTATGCATTGTTATTCTGTTCTACACTGTCCGTCCCTGTGATCAATCATCCCCCTCCCCAAGCCTACAGGTGAGCGGTGTCTACCATGGGAGCCAGTTCTTGACAGATTTCACGTATACCCAAAGGTACACCGAGAGGTAGTTTGTGCACGTGAACAGGGCGAATATGCCAAGACACGGCCAGGCATACGAACCTTTGACCTGCAACGTGGACAGGTACTGATCTGGTCAGTGGAGGCTACCTTCGCTGCAGAGGTGTCCAACTTACATCTTCACCCGAGCCGTACTGACAGTAGCCGCAGTCAGCCGTGGCATCTGGAGTTGCCAAGTACCCGATGGTGTCGTCAAGCCAGTCCCGAGCATAGTCACCGCACGTGGTGCCCGAAGGAGTATCGAAGCGGGTGAGTTCCGAGTTGGCACACTCCACGGTGATGCGTGGGAGGATAATTGCCATGACGCCGGAAATCCAATAGGTAAAGGGGCCCATGTAGTACAGGGTGTAGCGCCAGACTGCGGGCATGAGGGATGCGGGCTGCAGAACACCTGGGGAAGATTAGCAGCCGCCAGTAGACTTATAGCGGTCAGGGATCAGTACCATTGAATAGCTCAGCAGCGATAACGAAGAACGGCATAATATTGGCGGCCATGGACGCGTCGGAACTGTTCCATGGTGTCAGTGGTACTTATGAGTAAGAAAGATCTGGTCTTACCTTAGTGCAGCAATCCACTGTCCCCAGGACGTAATGAACAGTTGAAAGAGGATCATCATGAGGAAGGTATAGCCAGCCGCAACTCCCAGAGGGAAGCCCACCATGAAGTAGAGCAGCACGTAGATGACCAGGCCGCCAGCAAGTGCAAATGGGATCTCGGCAAGGATCTGCGCCGTCGTGAAGGCGGTCCACCCGTAGATGCGGCTCGGATACTCGCGCCCCAGCCAGACATTGCGATTCTCGTCAAACATCATGGCGGTAGCGTTGATGATTTCCGGTACAATCATGAGTACGAGAAACGCGGAGAAGATGCGGTATTGCATGGCTGCGACGGTGTCGTTCAGTTGCAGGAAGATGAGGCCGTTCAAAAGGGAGTGGACAAAGGTGGCGTAAAGACGAGAGTAGGTGTAGTTGGGCGAACGCCAGTATTGAGCGAGCGTTCTCTTGGTGAGAAGCCGCGATTGTCTCCAAGTAGAAGACGCAAAGCCGGCATCTGCGACCGCCGAGTCGTGTACTAGATTAGCTGACTCTTTAGACTGAGTGAAGCTGTCAATGTCGGCCAGCACCTCGGCGGCTTCAGGAGACTTTGCCCAGACCTGCGGCCATGACTCCTCTCCTGTTGTAGGTGCTTCGCGGGCGGGTATCTCAATCAGGAGATCGGCGACGTTCTTGCCAGAGGGGGCATTGACACCATGGTTCGTGAAGTAGTTCAGCACCTTGTTCACGGCACCAAAGTAGTACACTTGACCGCCTCGGTTGAGTGCGAGAACCTTGTCAAACTGCACCATTGTCAGCTCCAGTACTAAAAACTACTTCACCCGAAGCATTTCAGACTTACCAGATCAAAGTGTTCTTGGCTCGCTTGGTGGATAGTGCAGACAATCGCTTGCCCTCCATCCGCAAGGCGCCGCAAAAGCCTCAGGATGCTCATCGAACCTTGGCTATCCAAGCCCTGGAGAGAATTAATAAGTAAAGACTTTGTGATTTATTTCCGAGACTTACACTCGTGGGTTCATCCAAGAACAAGAGCAAGCTCGGCTTCGCACAGAGCTCCACGCCAATCGTGGTGCGCTTCTTTTGTTCCAGGGACAGGGACCGGATGGTCATGTCCTGCAACTCCACCATGCCAAGCACATCAAGTATCCGGTCCACGTAGGATAGCTTGTCGTCGTCGCTCGTCTCCGCTCCCTGACGCAACAGCGCCGAAAACTCGAACGCTTCCCGGACAGTGCTTGTTTCGATGTGAATGTCCATCTGCTGACAGTAGCCGACGCTTCGCCCGAATGAGGGACCGACAGGCTGGTCGTCAACTCGCATGTTACCCGTGACCGTGCCGGTGGCTTGCTGGGTTAGGACTGTGAGGACTATAGGTAGGTTTCTCAGCTTTCATATGCCACAATGCTGTGATTAGAGGATGACTTACGAGTACTCTTTCCTGCGCCTGATGCTCCAACTAGAGCCGTGAGCATTCCAGGCGCGCAGTATCCTGAAACGTCCCGAAGAAGTTGCTTCTCCCCGTTCTGGTGTGGGACACTGTAGTCAAGGTTCCTCCAAGTAAAGGTCGAGCCGGACTGGGCAAGCTCTTCACTTTTTGCAGCCCCTTCAGTCTGTTCAGATACATCCGCAGTGACTTGTGGACGCTCGACGTTTTCTTCATCACAGCCATGTGACTTGCGTATCCCCTTGCGCCCGTGTGCGAACTCGAGGAGTGCGCCGCCGCTGCGTACCCAGTCCACGTGTTCCACAATCCACATGTTGATCAATAAGAAGCCAAAGATGAAGGCAAGCAAGATACCATAGTTGCGGCCAATGTTGCCGTAGCTAAAGCCAAACTCACTCCGAAGGTAGTCATTGCCGTAGATGTCGAGCTGCCCCGGGGTTGACCCCCGCGAGGCGCATGCCTGGAAATCGGGCTCGTTGTAAGATGCACCAGCGGGAATAATGGAATCAGATTGGCAAGGAAATTCGCGTCCGTGAAACTCGGCGGCCATGATGTTCTCGTAAGCGAACGGAACAGGAGTGATATACTGCTCGTGATTAGCCGATATCCCATCCCATGACCACCCAAAAGCGAAGTCAAGACTTACTGCAAGCCAGCCAACCCAAGGCACATCTGCAATCATACGTTCGACAGATCGGACGTAGCCACCACAAGCAATCGCAATGATGAGGTATACTCCGCAGTATCGCAATGCGACTTCGAGTTGTGGAGATAGAGCACCAAAGACGCGATACGAGGCAGTGAAACCCATGGCACACAGAAAGGTCGACGATAAGAAAATGAAGAACGCTCCAGCCTACCAGGGGGTCAGTAGGTATGTCCAATCAATATGCTAACAAACAGCACTTACGTCCATCCTCATTCCACTGAGAAAGTATGCAATCACGCTGTAGGTTGCGGATTGAAGTAATACCAACGGAACGTCGAGGAGTGCTTTGCCAATAACGACGGCGCTAGGTCGTACCATGGCATACCTTTTCTGCCGACTGACGACCGTCCTGTCGTGGAATGCGGCATCAAGCTCGGCGAGCTGAAACCACGCTACCAACGCGGATGAGTAGAAGCAAAAGCCTCCTCTTGAGTAGACACCACCAGAGTCGTCTGGCATATTGTAGAACATGGACGCCAGTAGGAACGCGGACACAAATATGCAAATGAACTTGGTGACAAACGGAGCTTTGTGGCCCCTCAGCTGCCAAACATCGCGCTTCGCGCAAAGAAGGACTTGTCGAAAGAACGAGATGTTGTAGGACGATTTTGGTCGTACGAAGCGCGATTTGGTCTCCTTGACGTGCTGTTTCAGTGCATCCGACGATGGAGACACGCTGTTCACGGAGGTGTTGGTACGGATTTGGCCCTGCTCCAAATCATACGCATTGATCTCCTCGTGCACCTTCTCAAAGGCCCGGCTAGACCGAAAGACTGCCTCGAGGTTCTCAGCACCGCGGGGGACATCCTTATCAGACCGTTGAGAAATATTGGCAGCGTCTCCCGAAGCGACACTGGTGAGAAAGTCACTCATTGTCTGTCGCGGCAAACGCTCGTATCCAAGGCCGTTGAAATATGCCTCGGCATCCTTGCTTGGACCTTGGTAGAGCATGCGTCCCTCATCAATGAGAAGAACCTTGTCCATGAGGTTGTAGATGCTGTCAGATGCCTGGTAGAGCGACACGATTGTGGCACGCTGGCAAGCGTCTGTCATGATGCGAAGAGACCTCACAAAGTCCACGGCAGAAGAGGCGTCGAGGCCCCTTGTTGAGCCGTCCCATGCATTGACGGACGCATCTGACGCCAGCGACTCTAGAATAGAGACGCGCTTGCGCTCGCCACCCGAGACGCCTCTAATGAACTCATTGCCGACAAGTGTGTCCATGACGTGCGTCATGCCGAATGCGCTGCCGAATTCCTCGACGAAGCGCGGGGCGTGATGTAACCATCTCTTGGGTGTCTTGTTCTTCAGTGCGAAGTCTAGGGTCTGGCGGACGGTGAGGGTTGGGAGATGCAAGTCGTCTTCGGGGATATAGGTGACAAGACCGCGGTAGTTCTTGGACACTTCTTGGGGTGAAAGGCCCGAGTAGTCAATGGAACCGCTGACGTTCAGGAAGGACTTGTGATCATTGCCGACTGTGCGCAAGAATGTGCTGCACCCCGAACCAGGGTTCCCCAAAACTCTGTAGAATGATTAGAACATGTCTACACGCGTAGACTCTCCTCAAGTGACACTTACAGCATCATTTCTCCATTGCGCACTACACCAGAAAAGTCTCTGATCAGAGCCTGGCCATCTTCAGCCCTGACAGGAGACACGAATCGCTTGAGAGTAAGCTCGTAAATATCTTGAAGTGTCAAGGTTCTCCATATCGCTTCTCTCAACGTCTTGACAGGCGCAGCGCCTCCCGCTCGACCGTAGGCCGTGACTGATTTGAAGCAGACGCTCAGCGGAGGGGGTCGTAGGCTTGTATCGCCATGCTGTAGGTACTTCTCCAGACTTTGAATGGCGCTGTTCTCGTGGGGCTCTGTGACGGCTTTGTGAAGCCCAGCAACGGCCTCCTCTGTCTCGGCATCGACAATGACGTGCGTGATTGTGTCCTGGTCTTCTGCACCCGGTCCTGGCTGGCCGTTGCTGTGGCCCCGGGTAGGCTCTCGTGGTAGAAGAGAGGGTGGCATCTTGCATTCGAGAAAGAATGACGATCGTGTTAC